GCCCAGCTTGGACGTGGTGTAGTAGAGCCTCAGCTCCGCCTCCGACACCTGGACCTCGCTCAGCTTCTGCAGCATCTGTGCACGCTGGGGGAGGGCACGGGCGCGTCAGACGCCCGGCGGCGTCACGACCCTCTCTTCGGAGGGAAGCGAGACGCTACACAACACTCAGCATGGCTGACGCCACCCGCCTTCTGAAACCGACGGTCGGATCCCAATCACTGGCACGTGGCGTTCTCACACCAGCGGATGCACCACAGGAGGCGGGAGCTGGGGCAGCTACATGCCCCCTTGTGGGGGCCCGGGCTGGTAAACGGGCTCTCTCCGCCTCCCTCCGTCACCGCACGCTGTCTCGAGCAAAAAGCCGCCTGTGGGGACGTGACCCTGAGCTTCTTTCCCCTGGTGAGCACCTCGTGAGTTTTTACTGTATTTTACGTTATACGTATTTGATACGTGCTTCTACATGTATATTTCACAATCACTAAAAGAAAACAAGGTTTGGGGGACAGTGGGGGGGAGTGCTGCACCGGGTTTTAGAAAGACACATGGAAGAGTGAGTGCTCTGGGGGATGGGCGTCGGACTGTCCCCTGCTGGAGTCACAGAGCCCTGCACAGGGACCCTGGCAGAGCATCAGATGTGACTTGGCAAAGCCTAGAGATCGGGGTCTCTCAGTCTCCCCACTGCCGGCACTTTGGGGCTCAGCCCCGCCCACCCCCACCCCGTCTGTCTCTGTCCAGCCCGGAGAGCCGCATGCAGACCCCGGCGGGGCAGCAGGTGTACCTGGCTCTTCTTCTCCTTCTGTTCTAAGATCTTCTGCAGCACCTTCCGCTCTTTCTTGGTCAGAGGCTTCTTCTTCTTCGACGGCGGAGGGGCCTTGGTCTTCTTTTTTTTCTTCCCCGGCAGGACGAGGGCGTTGCTGGCATCGACTCCTTTCAACGTGCCCCTGTCTAGAAGGGCAGGCTTGTCTGACCCGCAGCCCCAGGGGCCAGGAGATGCTGGCAGTGCTCAGGGCTCCCCTTAATGCTGGTCTCCTCTGGGGCCCCTCCAGCCCTTCATGGGAGCCCCCTGAGGGCCCACACAGGAATGGGGGTGCAGACCCAGCCCACTGTGCCTTCACTCGACCCATCCACCCGGCACTTGCCACGGGTCAGGCTCTGCTGTGAGCCAGGGCACCCCTGTCCCAGTGTGGGGGGAGAGAGAAGGGGGTGCACACTATAACGAGGTGTTCCTCGGCGTGGGGGACTACTCTTGGCGGGTCTGGGAGATGCAAGCTATTCTCACAATAATGCTACAACGTACCGAGTCTGTGTCACACCTATTTTCAAATATCACCTTCTGAAAGTATGCCACGCAGACCAGCACTCAGCTACCACGTCCCTCTTCAAGTCAACCTACTGCAGCAGCTTGGGGAGTGACCCCTTGTGCCTGACATCTGACACGGGGGTGCCCTCTGCAGTGGCCCAGATGGGCAGTGTCTGATCCTGTTATCAACTGCTCAGGCTCCTTACGTGCTCAAATAAACAGCAAGAGAGGTTGTGACCATCATTAAGAACCAGACAATTTTAAGCAACGCCGCTATCTCCCACAGCCACGGTCCTCACCTGGTGACCCCGCCCCCGTTTTCAAATTTCACCTCCCCTCAGCCATTCTGGCCGCCTTCAGGTCTTGCCTCAAACGACACCTCCTCCGTGAAGCCCTCCCCACGCACCCTATGCAACATCACAACTCGCCCAATCACCCCTTCTGTTCATCTCCCCAGTACTGACAACCCCGCAACGGTCTGTATAGTTTCCGTGTTCCCAGGAGCGGCTAAGCTCCGTACGGCGGGGATTTGCTCCCCATAAATCTCCTTTTCTGTCACGTTTCCAGCGCCTAGCACTTTGCAGGCGCTCCTACTGACGGGAGTGTCAGCAGCCTGCAGTTGAGCAGGCAGGGGTGGGCTCAAAATACTTTAGGACAAGAAATTTATAATGGGAGCCATCAGGATGGATAAAGTGAACTTATTTTCTTGCCCAAATGCGCTACGTTGGGCTGGCCTCTAAGCGAGAGAAAGCCCGGCTAGTGTTCCAAATTCGGGTAAAATTAGACTGTCACTGTCCGGGAGACCTTCAGCCCCCACCCGCCGGCCCTGGAGGCGAGACCCCCGGTGGCCCTCCTCCCGAAATCCAGCCCCCGGACGCCTTACCCTCTAGTTCCAGCAGCACAGGGGGCGGCTCTGGGGGGCCTTGCGAGGGGCCGGGGGCCGCCTGCTGGCGCCCCTTGACGTTGTACCGCCGGCGCAGCTTCCCCATGGTGCCCCGTTCCTGCTCAGGTACGGCTGGGATGCCCAGCGGCGCACCCCGGGGGCCCGGCCCACGTGGGTTTGCAGACCGCCGCTCAAGCAAGAAAACTTCCGGGCTGAGCTCTCGCGAGAGCTGGGACTAACCCGCGCGCCGGGGGTGGTGCCGGAGGCGGGGCCCTGTGGAAAGGCGGGGCCGGGCTGGAAGTGGGGCGGGGCCAATTCAAACAGGAGGCTGTTTTCACCTGGTGTAGCCTGAGTCTCTGAATTTGAATTATTTACTACTATTGATTTGGCTCCTTAGGAGTGAGAGTGTTTTGTCACCTTTAAACACATCACCCTGCCCCTAATTACAAGTGTCTTCACTGCTTTTTGTTTCTCATTTGCATTTTCTGATATTCTTGCAACATACATTAGTCGTGTAGTAAAAAGCCACTAAATATTTCCATTGCAGGGACGGAAGAATAGGAGGAGAAGGTATCTATTAGCTTTAAAAACTCTCACTACACATCGCACTGTGTGCAGCGCACTCAGAAATAACACATCTTCTGAATCCTGTAATTATCTTGCAGACAGAACGGTTATACAGTGTCGCCTTCTTTCCCTGTTAAAAGCGTTAACTTGTTAGGGGCAAATATTTGATATCGCACCAAAAGGTGGGGGCTCTAGGCGTTATTTCAGGATTCTGGAAAGGATGGAGTTGTTTTTAAAAACTCCCGGGAAACACACCTGAAGACTGGAGAATGAGATCTGGCCGCAGGGCAGGTGTGCAGTGCGCAGCTGCCCAACGTAAGAACGAGCGGATGAGTGAACGGAGAGTGTGACTGAGTTTGGATGAACTCCCCTCCTGCCCCAAAACAGAAACAGACCCCTACAAAATCACAGGCGATGCATAAGGATTTGGGTGGCATGCATAGGAACACGTTTAAAGGTTATGTAGTAATTGTAATGGGTTTTCATCATTTTTTAATTGCTTAGGATGACACAGTCCAGTATCTTTAAATATGTTTATTTCATTAAATAAAAAGTGTGCCCATCTTTAAATTATTAAGTAGGTCATAGAGCACTCCCCTATATTTTCTTCTAAGATAATGTAAACCAAAAGATTATCTCCAGGAGAATGTAGAGCATTCTAGACCCGGCCGGTGTGGCGCAGTGGGTTGTGTGTTCTACTGCGAAGTGAAAAACTGCCGGTTCCATTCCCGGTCAGGGCACACCGATGTGCTTCCCCCTTTCTCCCTCCATTACCAAGAAGGAAGGAAGGAAGGAAGGAAGGGAGGGAGGGAGGGAGGAAGGAAGGAAAGAAAGTTAGTTATATACTGCAAGAAAAAAAAGATATACACACAACAACATGTATCTCATAATGTTCAGCAAAAGGAGCCAATCAGAACTTGCGATCCCATTTACATAAAGTTCATACTCAGGCAAGACGGATCCCCTAAATTTTGGAGGGGGTCGCAGTGAATGGGAAGGGACAGAAGGACCCTTTCTGGGAAGGTGCCAATGTCCGTTTCTCCAAATGCGTGCTGGTGACGGTGTGTAGTTTAAATTCACGGAGAGACATCTTATGATTGGAGTATTTCTTTCTAGAGGTTATACTTCAATGAAAAAGTTTACTTTAAAAAAAGAAGATAAAATACATGGCGAAGAAATATATGAAAACGTCACCAGGAATCCAGAAAAAAATGTAAGTTCAGAAACATGGTATGGTTTTTCACACATTGGGTTGGCAAAAATTTTCATTTTCAGGGTTGTCTCAAAAAATGCCTGGTTCGACAGGGTTGGTTTGGTTTCAGGTGCAAACAGGCCCTTGCACTGCATTTGGTTGCCATGGCTCTCAGCTCTTTAAACATCAATAATCCCCCCTGCCCCGCCCCTTTGTGTGCCATCTACATATGGAATAACCTGGTCCCTGGTCCTGTAGAGAGCTCCCCATTCCGGATTTGGCGGGTCGCTTCTGCTTTTCTAAATTTTCTCTTCCATTCCCCGTATTTCCTGTAAACTGTTGCTTCTGTGTAGAGGCCAGATCAGGTTATGGCTCCAAGTACTTTGGCAGGAACCCATTACAGGCGGCGCTGACACTTCCTGCTACTAAGATCGGAGGGCCCAGGTCAGGACAACGTGAGCCCCTTCATTTTCCAGTTCGCCACCAACGTCTTGGTTTTCATCTCTGGATGACGGTCTCCTGGATCTGTCCTTTCACTGACAGCTGTCGAATGACTTTCTAGTTCTCATACTCCTTCCTCATTTCCTAGCTTGATTTTTCTAAAAAAAACTTTCGGCTGTTTTGCAACTCTGAAATAGAGTTCGTTCAGGAAGGACAAGAGGAATGGATGCTAGACGCTTTCCCTTTGTTTAAACATTTCAGAATGAATGAACGAGCTGGGGCCCTTGCCAACGGCAACCGTGGCCGATTAGTGGGTACCGTTGGTCAGCTCAGTGATATATATAATATGCATAGTAGTTCGTGTTTTCCAATCAACTGCAGTCAAGTTTTCCAGGCTTGGGTTGCTTCTCACAGAAAAAAAAATTATTATTATTTATTAACTTTAAAAGGTTGAGACCCCACCAGGTCAGGGAGAGCTTGCGGAGGACGGGAGCGGGGAGACTAAGCGACCTAAAACCGGTCGCGACTGCTCCTGCCGGGTCGTTGGCGGGTCCCTGTCTCCGGGGGCGGGGCCAGGCGTGGGTAGGGCGGTCGCGTCTCTGCGCGCGGGGCGGGGCAGGTGGCGCATTGGCGGCGACGGGCAACGGCGCTGCACGCGGTGCTCTAGCGCGCCTACGCGGTCCCCGCCGGAGTCGCGGCGTCCCTCCGTGCGGCCCTCACCTTTCTTCCTGTCCTCGCATCGCTCCGGCCCCAGGATGGGCGCGCGCGCCTCGGGCTGGCCCCGGGCCCGGGCCGGGCTGTTGCTACTGCTGCCGCTGCTGCTCGGGATGCTGGCCCCGGGCGCGCAGGGGGCGAGGGGCCGCGGCGGCACGGAGAAGAACAGCTACCGCCGCACCGTCAACACCTTCTCTCAGAGCGTCAGCAGCCTGTTCGGCGAGGACAATGTGCGCGTTGCTCAGAAGGTGGGCTCTGGGCCAGCACCCGCGGTCACCTTGCCCCGGCCGCCGCGCACCTGGCGCCGGGGCTGGCCTGGGCCGTACGCGGCCTCCGGTGCGTGGGGTGGGGGGTATCAGGGACAGGGGTGCTTGGGACAGGGGTGCTCAGCCTGCACCCGTGAGCCTGCCCGGCCAGTGTCGGGTCTGGCGGCGGGTTCCGGCGCGGGGCCTGGGCGCAGGGCCTCGGGGCGCCTCCTGCTCCACGTCGCCCTTCTCCTTGGACCTTGCCCCGTAGGGCGCCGCTGCCAGGGCCTCTCCGGGGCTGCGCTGACGCCGGCCGCGCCTCTCATTCATTCATTCTACACGTTTGAATGAGCACCTACTGTGAGCCAGGCACCATGCTGGCTACCCCAGGGGCGCCCTGCCCCCGTGCGCCTCTTCCCACGCTGTTCCCAGCCACCCCAGGTCTCCTCTAGACTCGCACCTCCCCTGGGCTCCTGTAGCCCTCTCTTTTTGTCATTTGAAGATATTTATGCTTTTTTTTCTTTACAAGAAAAATGGAGAGAAGCGGGCTGTTCTGTTGCTTTGGACGCCTGGCACTGTAACCCCCCGAGTGCCTACTGTGTGGGGGGCCTTTCACTCGGAGCCGGTCGTTCCCTGTGGAGCTGTTTAGGAGCCTGCAGCCCCTGGAATGGTGTGGAGAGCTCCGGAGCAGCTCAGGGAGAATGCCGGCTCCCCCTGGGTCACAGCTTTGTCCTTGGAGCTGGGTGGGATGGGCCCGCCATTGGGGCCAGAGTTCACCAGTAGTTCTCCAAAAGAGGAAGTGAATGGGGACGGTTGCCTGTGGTGTATGGTTCCTTTGCCACCCTGCTGTTAATTCCTTTGTCTGCGCTAGCTCTGGGGCTTCGGAATGGAGAGAAGTTTGGGTTCAAGTTCAGGCCCTGCCACTTGCAGACTGTTTGGCTTCAGGCAAGTGTCTGAGTTTCTTCCTCCTGTTAAGTGGGGTTGCTCATGTCCCTTCCGCTGCGAATTCGTGGTGGTGGGTGGTCAGTACTTTCCTGGCCCAGAGCAATGGCTGAATTGGTGTCAGCTGCTATTAGGTATAGTTTAGCCAGGGTACAAGCCAACATTGTTTAACCGGGCTGGAAGGGCTTTCAGGGTTAAAAAAAAAGTTTTCTGGTACTTGAGATTTGTGGGGGGAGAACGATGAAACCCCAATCAGACTGGCCAGACATCCTCCTTGGGCGAAAGGAAAGACGGGCTAATGTGTTAGGAAGACTGACTTCTGACCCTCCTCTCCCGAGCGTTTGTGGAGGCCGGGTGGTGCGGGTGGGGGTGGTGGTTCTGGAGCAAGTGAGCTCTCTGTAGGGGGTCGGGGGGGAGCAGGGGTGGGGGGGCACCAGCAGACACCTGAGTGCAGACAGGCTGCCCTGGGTCTGCCTGGGCCTGAGGGGTGCGGACGAGGCCAGTCTGTGCCCTGGGCCTCTTGAAAGCAGAGAGCATTTGTCTTGGAGCAAAAAGAGTGTGACTTCTTCATGCAGGACGAGCAGCTGCAGCCTGTGTCTCAGCAGACGGTTCTTTGGGAGAACCTGAGGCCCTCGGCTGTGAAACACAAAACATTGACGCGAGGGCTTCACCTCGGGGCCGGCGTCAGTGAGGCAGCTGTGGCTGGCGAGGGCTCCGAGAGGCTCGAGGTCAGACCCTTTCTCCGGTCAGCCGGGCTTCGAGCCTCTGACGGAGGTGATTGTAACGCTGACTCTGCTGCCTGATTGAAATGTGCTGAGTGCTTGCATTAGTCGAGTAACTCAGTCCTGAGAACAGTCCTAGGAGGTAGATGCTGTCACTGTGTCTAATTTACAGGTGGGGAAACCGAGGCACAGGGTAGTGAAGGGACTGGCTGCAGATGAGGCTGAGTGGTAGAACCGGGATTTGAACCCAGGCAGCGTGGGTCTGGCGCCCACGGTCTCCTGCCTCGGGACCTTTCCCGGTGTCTCCAGTCCGGGCAGTTTCTAGAACCAGGCTGACCTGACTTATCTTCCTTCCTGCCGAGTGTGGCCCAGACCAGCCAGGCTTGTGGGGGCTCGTCTCCTTAATCCTAAGGAGAGGAAACCCGGGCTGGCTGGCAGCTGTGGTTCCCGGCGGGCCGTGGAGGTGGAGGGTGTTTGAAGCAGCACCCCATTCGCCAGCCTGGGACTTGCCTACGCACGGGCCTTGCTGACCGGCAGACATGGACCGGGACCCCGGCTCTGCTTCTCACCGACCTTGGCCACTCGCTTGACCTCTGGGTCGCCCGTGTGTGCAGGAGACAGGTGACTTGGGGGCTGAACGTGATCGGCCAGGATGAGGGGTACCAGGCGCCGAGTGGGCCTCCAGCGAATGGTAGAAGGTGTTTGTACAGGGAAGGGGTTCGTCTGGCAGCAGTGACACGGTCGTTCATGCATTTAAAAAGTCCTGAGCGCCTCGGACACGAGCGTTCACAAAAGCACCTTTCACGTTAGCCGGAAGGTGGAAAACCGCCCGGATGCCTGTCGGCTGACGGACGGGTAAACAAACAGTGGTCCGGTCACGTGGGGGGGCCGGTTCAGCCACGGACAGGAATGAAGTCCGGCTGCACAGGCGAGCCTTGGGGACGAACAGCAAGACCCAAAGGTCACGTGCCGTGCGATCCCGTCTACGTGAGACGCCCAGAACAGGGGACCCGAAGACATGGAAAGCGGATAGGCGGCTGCTAAAGTTGGGGGGGGGCAGCTGGGGGAGTGGCTGCTCGTGGGAGACAGAGCTTCCTTCTGGGGGATGGAGATGTTCTGGAACCAGACGACCAGAGGCGACAGTCGCAGACATGGTGACCGTCCTTCCTGCCAGTGGACCGTGCGCTTTGCGGCGGTTAAAAGAGCCCCCGCTCCGTGGAGCGCACGGCGGGTGCAGCGTCCCCTCCGGAGGAGCCCCCAGGGACCGGGGTGTGCACGGGCAGCGGTGACAGGACGTGGTGATGTCAGAGCACTGGGTGTCGGTGAGCAGAAAGAACGGGGTGCTGTAGCAGGCGCAGTGGGCGGCCCTAGCCCACGGCTGGCACCCCTGTTCCTCAGAGGAGGGACCCGAGGCACAGAGGGGCGGCGCTCCTAGGACCTGGAGTTCGGCTACTTGGTGGCGGGGAGCTCTGAGCGTCCACACTCACACCCCCCCCCCCCCGTGGGACTGGCAGTAACCGCAGAGGCGTGGCCGGGGGAGTGAGCTGCGGGAGAAGTGCCAGGGGCCGAGGGGACAGCATGAGCAAAGGCCCTGCGGTGGGAGGGGGCTCGGAGCCTGGGAGGGCCAGGGAGGCGTGGCTTCGATCCGCCTGGTGAGCCAGGGACGTGATATTGTCCTGACTGCGGGTGGTGCGGGGGTGGGCACCAGGCTTACGGGGGTGGGGGCTGCTTCACAAGGTTTATAGACATCTAATTTCTAGGCCGTGCACCTGACGCTGACATGCACTGTAATACCAACTGTAACTGAAAAATAAGTAAGTAAAAATAAAAAGGAGAGATCAGGCAGAGGAAGGCAGAGGCTTTGACAGAGGGTGAGCAGAGGGTTCTGGGAGCACCCAGACCGGGAGCGAGGCAGCCGTGCTGAGGGGCGGCTCCTGTCTCCCGTGGGTGCATTGCTTATTCTGCCGGAGGGACTTTAGCCCAGATTTTGCTCAGTTCTCGGCCCACCGACAATTGGTCCCAGCTCATCAGTGCCCTGGGCTCCTCGGCCGCTCACGGTGGCCGGCGGCTGCGGTGGCAGCCGTGGTGGTTCTGTTTTCCCGCTGGCGTGTCGACCGTGAACTTGGGAGAGGGCAGCGCTGGCCGAGTGAATAACGACCTTCCTCTTGTTTCTGCAGTTCTTGACCAGGCTGACCGAGAGGTTCGTGCTGGGTGTGGATATATTTTTGGACACCGTGTGGAAAGTGTGGACAGAGATCTTGGATGTTTTGGGACTTGACGGTAGGTATCGGTCTGGGCGGGGGTCCTTCAAGGCACTGTTTTATTCCGGTGGTTTCTTCAGGTGGGCCGGGTACCCACAGTGGGTGGTCGAGACGCGCCTTGCGGGGGGCAGCGCGGGTCGGAATAAACACCTGTTGTGGTAGTTGCTTACGTGGAAGGTCCGTCGGAGCTGAGACTCACAGGTGCCACTCAGGATGAGGTGCCAGGGGCAGCGTCTCGGTGTCTGTCTCCGGGCCAACTGCGTGGAGTGGGGGTGGGTCCTCTGGTGTCCGTACCGAACTGCTCCAGTCCCGTAAGCAGGAGGGGGTTTAATTCAGAGAGTGAGGCGCTCACGGAGTCATCAGAAGGTCCGAGGGAGTGGCGTGTGACCCCCGGGCCCAGCCGACTTGCTCTGCTCTGGATGCCGGAGGCTGCTGCTGGGACCGTGGACATCAAGGACATGGCCCGGGTCCAGGCTACTGCCGGTCCCTCCAGGGAGTCTGGAGGCGTGTCGGGGTCCCCAAGGCCACCTCCCCCCCCACCCAGGCTCGGTGACTCCCCGGGAAGGCTCCCAGGGCCCAGCGTGGGGTCATAGTCATGTCTGGTATATACGCCAGTGAGAGGACACGGAGCAAAATCCACGAAGGGAAGAGGCACGAGAGATGAAGTCTGGAGGGGACCAGGCTGCAGCTTCCGGAGCTTTCCCGGGGGAGTCGCCCAGGACACACTTAGTTCCCCAGCGATGAGCTGTGACACTACCTGCGTGAAGTGTCACCTACCAGGGAAGCCCACTAGAGACTCAGGGTGTTATCTCGGGCAGGTCACGTGCACCCCCTCTGCCTGGCTCCCTGACACCACACCGTCTGGGCAAACGGCCCCGCACGGAGAGCCCCTGTCCTCGGGGAGGGGGGGCCCTTTCTCCGACATCGCACCGCCGGGCAGCAAACTCCAATCTCCTCGGACGCTGGCCGGCCGCCCCACAGACGGAGCTCGGTTCTGACGTGACCCCCTGGAGACGCGTCAGCTCCCACGGGCTGGGGGCTCTGTCCTGCGAGACGGCCCCACTGCCAGGGCGTCCCAGGCTTCTGACAGACGCCCCCTGCGGTTCGGGGGGTCCCACGACGCCCTCCTCCGCTCCGATGACTTTGCTGGGTCATCCCACGGAACTCAGGAGACGCGTTTACTCACGAGGTTACCAACTTATTGCAAGACCTAACCCAGGAGCAGCCCGATGGAAGAGACGCAGGGGGCAGGGTCCGGGAGAGGGGCTCGGAACTTCCGCTCTCTGAGTTCACGGCCCCGGAAGGCCCCCCGAAGCCCCTGCATCACGTGGGCACCATTGAGGAAATCACCTGCCTGGCCGTGGGGGACCGGACCGATCCGACCTGCAGCCCCTCTCCCCTCCCCTCCCCTCCCCTCCCCTCCCCTCCCCGAAAACGGCGGGAGAGGGGATGGACCGGTCCCGCCCTCCAACCACAGGGCGTTTCCCCTGGCAACCAGCGCCACCTTTAGGGGCTTCTGAAAGCCGCCTCGTTAAGAAACGCAGGTGTGGTCGAAAGGAACCCCGTGTGAATTATCAGGACAATTTTATTGTTGTTATCCCTGGGGACATAAATGCCCTGGGCTCTAGGAACCCTGTGCCAGAAACAGGGACAAAGCTCAAATACATATTTCTTGTCGTGAACCACGGCGCTCTGGAAATCCAAGTTCACAGACCCGAGCCAAGGCTGGTGTTGCCAGCGGGCCTTGCTGGAGAGGGCGGCCTTGGCCGGCGGGCTGACTCTCCCCGAGCACCTCCTAGTGCGGTTTCTCCCCGGGCTGTTTGTGGTCCCTTCTTGGCCAATCAGCCAGGGTGGTTTTTTTAATTACTATTTTTATTGCATAGAGTAATTAAACAAAAAACCATAAATCAGGTCAAGTCCCTCTCCTAAACTGCCCAGTGACTTCCGGTTGCACTTGGAATTGACACAGGGGTTGTGTGAGGACTGTACGCTCCAAGGATCTCCTCAGCCTCTGCCTCTGCCCTGTTCTTGGACGTGTCTTGGCCTTCACACCTTCCGGGAGTCCCTTTAGGTGTTTTCTGCCAGGAGCGATTCCCCAGCCCTTTGTCTGCTCAGCTGTTTCCATCTTTGGGCCTGTTGTACATGACACCTCCTCCAAGGGGTCCACCCTGATTACCCCAAGTAAAGCCACCACATCTGTTCTCACACTGTCCCTTTGTTCTCTTTATGGCAGCAGCCCCCAGCCTTTTTGGGCACCAGTGACTGGTTTTTCCGCAGTGGGGGATGGAGAGGCAGGAGGCAGGGCTCAGGCAAACTTCCCTTTCGGCCCAGTTCCTAACACGCCCAGGGCCCACACTGGTCCGTGGCCTGGGGGCCTGGGGACCACTGCTTTGTGGCACTGGTCCGCTGTAACCTCCCGAGTGTGCTGCAGGGGGTGCGGTCTCCTCTCTGGAATCCCAGCTCCAGAGACTGCGGTCTTGCCCGGCTCCTCCAGCTGCACCCTCCGCCCCGACTCTGCCCCGGCACTGAGGGGCCTGGCGTTGACTGCCGCTGGAGGACTGCCGCCTGCCGCTGCGCTGCAGGTGTGGTGAACCGTGTCCTTCCAGAAAGGCCCTGCCTCGGTGCAGGCGGCCTCCCCCGGGGACGGGGTCTTGGTGGGTGCGGTCAGGTTAAGATGCCGCCGTCCGGATCGGGGTGGGTCCCAAACCCGGCGCCTGCTGTTGTTATCAGAAGAGGGGCATCTAGATGCAGAAACACCAAGAAACACCCGGAGAAGACAGCCTTGCGACCACAGAGGCAGAGCCTGCAGGGACGTGGCCACCGCGTCACTCCAGAGGCTGAACAACACGAGGCAGGGCCTCCCCTGGAGCCTGCAGTGGGAGCCCCGCCCCGCCCCGACCTTGACCCAGAGCGGGGAGAGAAATCACTCTGTTTCAAGCCACCGGGAGCTGTTGTTTGTTACAGCAGCCCCAGGAAACCGATACAGCTCTGTCCCTGCAGAGTCCCTCGGAGGCGTCCTGCTGGCCTCCGACACCCCCGCCTGACCCGGGCTGGAGGTGGAGCCCGAAGCCCCGGGTCACACCTGCTGTCGTTCCCCTCAGCCGCTTGGAACCACCTGCAGCCTTGAACCGCTGAGTTCGACCTCCGAGGGGCCCTGAGGCTGATGGGGTCGCCTCGCTGCTCGGGCACAGAGTCTGAGGTGTTGACGCAGCCCTTTGAGAGGAGGCTGTGTGCCCTGCAGCCCCTGGGGCTGCCGCCGGCGCCCCCCTGGGACTGAGGCTGAGCCAACGCATAACCCAGATGCAGCAACTGTGTGCAATCCCGCTCGGAACCCGCGCTCCCCGCCTGCCCGGAGCGCTCAGCTGTCGGCATGTCCCCCCCGAGCCCTGAGTCTGCAGAGACAAACCTGGTTGCAAGGAATTGCGTGCCGCTCGGGCCAAAAAAATACGGAGGGGAGACGGCCGTCCACGTGTCTGGACGGGGCCAGAATCGGAGACGTCTCGCAGCGGGGCCACGCGGCAGTGGACGCCCACCTTGGTCCACACTGGGGAGGGGAGACCCCGGTGTCACGGTGTCTTCCCTTTCACCTGGCGCACCGGCTTCACAGCATCCGAAGGCCTTTGCGATTTGTGTCTTGGGCTTAGAAGTTCAAGTGTGCACAAGGCTCGACAGGAAATGCTCCCGGGTTGAACGGTCTGGTACAGTCCTTCCGTGGGCACGGTCCCCTAGCTTCCTCCTTCAGAACGTTCCAGGTGTTGTCACCACGGAGACGTCTTAGCCCAGGGCGGTCTGACAGGAATAGGCAGCCAGCCACCTATGCCAGGTGACATGTCCTCGTCACACTGAGAAAGGAAACTGGTGAAATGAATTTTAATAAGATATTGCCGTGACCACGATCCAAAACATTGTCCTCTCCACCTGTCATCAACGTGGAAAATGACGACTGAGGCGTCCTGCATTGTGGGGGTGTCCGGTCTTCGGGATCCAGTCTGTCTTGGACATGGCGCGTCTCGCTGGGACTGGCAGTGTGCGTGGTGGGCCACGGGGCCAGCGGCCGCTCTGACGCACAGCCTTGGCCAGGGAGGCCGTCGGCTCCAGTGCTGCCCTGCCCTAGCGGGGGACTCTGGACGAGCCACTGTGGGCCCGGGTCCCCGTGTGGGAAACGCTGTGCGTCTCATCAGCAGGTCGTGAGCACTGGGGACAATGTGTGCAGGGCTGTCAGAACGGCGCCTGGCCCACGGCAAACGGCTAGGAAACTCACAAAGGCTTACGCAGGGGCCCCTGTCCACAAAGGACATCTCCAGCGGTTCCAGGAGCCGCCCAGTCTCGATTCTCTCTGCGGAGGGCGCTGCCTGTGCCTGGCGGTGCCTGGCACAGCCTTCCCCTACACCGCCCACGGGGACTCGGCGGTCATGCGCACAGTGACGTGAGCCTCGGGCCAGACGGAGAAGCAAGCCCGCCCCGAAAACGTCCACTTGTCTTTGAGTGGCACGTGCTGTGGGTTGGACTGTGTTCCCCTCAAAGTCACATGTTCAAGCTCCGACTCCCAGGACCTCAGAAGGTGACCTGGTTTGGAAACGGGCTCGCTGCCGATGTCAGCAGTTAAAAATGAGGTCACACTGGGGTAGGGAGGGCCCTACTCCAGGATGCCTGGTGGCCTCGAGAGAAGGGGACATTGGGACCCAGAGACACGGGACGAAGGTGAAGGCGGAGACCAGAGTGAGAGCCACTGGGAGTCGGGAATGCCCAAGATCGCCAGCAAAGCCCCAGGGGCTAGGGGAGGCCGGGACCGGAGTTCCCCCCAGAGCCACAGGAGGGTTCTGCTTAACTTTGCCATGAGCCCCCATCTTGGAAAAAATTGCCTGTTTAGAGAAAAACGTTGAAGAAAGTCACGTCAGTTTCTCCTGTGGTGAATGTCAGGAGATGGACGGAACACGGGCGAACAAAAGCTCGCGGGAGTCCTGAGACCGAAGGGCCGGGCTGCGCCTCACCTTCCGCAGGCGTTCCGTGTGAGGCTCAGGTCCGAAGCCAAAACCGCTTCAGTCAAAGCGCTGCCGAAACCTCCGCGGGGGGCCCCACGAGGGCGCGCGTCACCGCGGCTGTCGGGGACCCTGCCTGGGTGGCCCCGGGTGCCGTCAGCCCCGGAGGAGGCTGCTGTTCGCGAGCTTATGCTCAACCCTCTGACCACACGTGGGGTTGCGGGGAGGGGAGGAGACGGTCACCCTGCAGACGCTTTTAGGGGCTCGGAAAGCCCCAGGCTGCAGCCTTCCTGTCTGGGGCTTGCTCTGCGTGCACGCTTGGCCGCTCCGCGTCGTCACGTCCCGCGTCAGCCGGGGCCCCGCTCCTCCCTCTCGCGCACGGAGCGGGTTGTACCTCGGCCTCAGATCTCAAAGCGAGAGCCTCAGAGCAGCAGCCGCGGCAGCAGCAGCCGCAGCGTCCCCAGGAACTTGCTGACCCCGGCGTGTACGGTCCACCGGTACTGGATGAGGGAGCCAAGACAGCGCCCTGGAAGAAAGACAGTCTTCGGTCAGCGGTGCCGGGGACCTCGGATACTCCCACGTTAAAGGGACGAGACCGGGCCGCCCTCGGACGCCACTCACAAACTCCCTTGGAGTGGACTGGGGACTTGAGCGTGAGACTGGAAGCCGCAAAACGTCCAGAGGAAAACCTACGTGGCACACTCCTTGGCGTCAGTCTTGGTGATGATTTGGGGGATTTGACATCAAACGCAAAAATAAATAATCCGGATCCAACGCCAAAGCTTCTGCACGGGTGAAGAAGTGAGCGACAAAATGAAAAGAACCTCCGACATGGGGAAAAGGTGTTTGCGCACCATTCTAAAATACATAAAGCACTCGTACTACTCAGTAGCAAAAAAACCTCCAAGTAATCCTGCCCTGGCTGGTGTGGCTCAGTGGACTGAGCACCAGCCTGCAAACCAAAGGGTCTCAGGTTCGATTCCCAGTCAGGGCACATGCCTGGGTTGCAGGCCAGGTTCCCAGTATGGGGCGTATCCTGCCATATGGGGTGTATGTTGATGTTTCTCTCCCTCTCTTTCTCTCTCCCTTCTCCTCTCTAAAAATAAATTAAAAATCTTAAAACACAACAACAACAAGTAATCCTATTAAAAAATGGGCTCTGGACCGCAATAGACATTTTTGCAAAGAAGACAGTGAACGGCAAACAGGTGCACGAAAAGCGCTGATTGGTGCCCCTGGACTGCAAGGAAGTCCGATCAGAACTCGCACCTGTCAGAACGGCGCTTTCCAAAGAGACAGGGAGGCAGGAGAACCCCCATCCTCGGTGGTCGGGAATGTGAGTTGGTGCAGCCACTGTGGAAAACAGCGTGGAGCTTCCTCAAGAAGTTACACACGGATCTGCCACGTGACCCAGCCATTCCGCCTCTGGCTCTGTGTCCAGGGGAAACGAGGACACCCCGTCTAAGAGGCACCTGCACCCCGCGTTCGTTGCAGCGTGGTCACCAGCAGCCCAGACGTGGAAACGGCCTCAGCGTCCATCAGTGAAGCTGTGGTGGCTACGCGGTGGGGTAGTACTCCGCCATCACATGAAGGGACTCTGCCGTTTCTGGCCACATGGATGGGCCCTGAGGGCGTCGTGCTGGGCGAGACGGTGCAGACAGAGACAAGTGCTGTGTGATCTCACGTACATGTGCAATCTGGAGGGGGGGCGGGGGGCCATCCCACACCCACAGGAGAAGAGATCAGATGTGCGCCTACCAGAGGCTGGTGAGGCGGATGGGGGTTGGACGGAGGTGGCCGCAAGGAACAGCGTGCGGCCCTCGGCAAATAAGTACTCGGATGTCGGGTGCAACGTCACGGCCACGGCCAGCCGAGCTGCAGGCTGTGCGGAGAGGCCGTGACAAGAGCACTAGACCCTAAGAGTTCTCAGGATGGCAGACAGTTTTTCCCTCTTTTGTATCTATGTGAGGTGGTGGGTGTTAATTAAGCGCACGCGGTGACCCTGTCGCAGTGGGTGTGAGTCATCGTGCTGTCACCATAAACATATGTGGCGCCATAGGTTAGTTATATCTCAATACAGCGGGGCGGGGGGGCCACGCTGAAGTATGGAGTGTTCACCTTTCAATGGGTGGGTAAGAAAAGTACACGTGACTAGAGAGAGAATTGGGAAACCTAGCTGGTTTCCATAGGGGCACCGATTTTACTGCTCTTGTAACCTTTCTGTTTGAGTGTTTTCTGAAGTTGGGCACATGGAAGATGCAACTCCTCCATGTCACTCCATGCTTAGGATGGAACTTTGTGTGTGGGTACCAGTTACCATTAGGTGTGGCTGTGAGTAAGGAACCCCAAAATAGCCCTGGCTGGTGTACCTCAGTGGATTGAGCGTGGGCTGCGAACCAAAGCATCGCAGGTTCGATTGCCAGTCAGGGCACATGCCTGGGTTGTAGGCCACGGCCCCCAGCAACCACACATTGATGTTTCTCTCTCTCTCTCTCCCTCCCTTCTCTCTCTAAAAATAAATAAAGTTTTAAAAAAGGAAACCCCAAAATAATAGCAGCTTAAACAAGATGGAAGCTTATTTCTCTTGTGCAAAAGTTCACAGGTAGGTGGTTAGGCAGGTGGGAGGCTTTGTAGCCCGTCGTCCTCAGGACCGAGGCACCTTTCATCTCACTGCTCCCCAGTAGGTGACCGTTCTTCCCTCATGGCCCATGACAGCTGCTCCCATACCTGCCATCGCATCCACATCCCAGCAGGCAGAAGAAGAAGAGTAAAGAGCACAATCCTGCTACCTTTAAGAAAAACCCTCGAAGCTATCGCAGAAACGGGTCTGCTTCCCTCTCTCTTGACCACGGCTTAGTCATGTAGTGATGGAGGAGGAGACTGGGAAGTGCCTTCATCCTGGGCAGCGTGTGTCCCGCCTGACGGTGGGCACTGGTTGCTGCGGAGGGCAGGAGGGGAGGAAACGGAAGGGCAGTTTGCAGGCTCTGCCCTGCTGTGGTGGACGACCTACACCCATCGGGCAGGCAGTCTGAAAGGCTGACCCTGTCCTCTCCCGGGCCTTAGCGCGGAGGTCCGAGGGGCAGCTCAGTTCCTGGGGCTGTCGCGAGGGCCCAGCAGGTGTGCTGGGCTGCCCAAGCCCGGCCTGCACAGAAACCCGACTCCCTGTAACCGGCCACTGTCCCCCTTTCCTCTCTCCTGCAGTCTCGAACATGTCGCAGTATTTCAACCCCGCCTCGGTGGCCAGCAGCCCCGCCCGCGCCATCATTCTGGTCGGCGTCATCCTCCTGGCCTACTGGTTCCTGTCCCTGACCTTGGGCTTCACCTTCAGCGTCCTGCACGCCGTGTTCGGCCGCTTCTTCTGGATCGTGCGCGTCCTCCTGTTCTCCATGTCCTGCGTGTACATCCTGCACAAGTACGAGGGGGAGCCGGAGGGCGCGGTGCTGCCGCTGTGCTTCGTGGTGGCCGTCTACTTCATGACCGGGCCCGTGGGCTGCTACTGGCGGGGCGGCCCCGGCGGCCCCAGCGTGGAGGAGAAGCTGGAGCACCTGGAGAACCAGGTCCGGGTCCTCAACATCCGCCTCAGCCGCGTGCTGGAGAGTCTCGACCGCGCCAACAGCAAGTGACAACCAGCCAGCCGGCCGGGTCCCCTCGCCCCGGCGCCCCCTCTCCGGAAACAGAAGAAGAGGAGGAAGAAAAGGACGGCGAACCCCAAACAATCTTAATAAACGTTCCTGGGCAAGAGAGAGGGGCGCTCTGTGAGGGTGTTTCCGGCCACGCGCGGACTCTCAGGACGCATTCCGAGAGCGAGGACCCGCTCCGCGACGTGGAGCCACCTGCCAGGTGTTGTGAGTGGGAGAGATATTTTTTACACAAAGGAGATAACCCTATTAGCTGTACAGTCAGAGAAGTTTATCTGCATAGAGCATAAAGTTAATTTTTTCAAGCATTTAAATACATCTTTTGTAAGGTTTTTTAATAAAGGCAGACCTGAGTCGAGTTTCTTAAACCTTTACGTAGAGGGGGAAGGACGTGCTGATTCGACGCTTTAGTGGAGTTACGTGTCTGTGTCCGCGGGGGGGGGGGTGTCGGGGGCAGGGTCCGTGTGCATCGTCTTCACGTCCCTGCAAGGTGAGTGCGTGTGTCAATGTTATTTTGGGCTGATGGCGACCGAGCGGATGAACGCTGTCGCTTCTGAGTGTAGGCAGCTGGGCTGCAGGATGAAACCGAGCGTCTCTCGGGGCGTAGGGACCCCGGCCAGGCCCCCACCGATGACGTTTCCAAGGGAAGAAATCCTTATTTGTAGAAATCTTGCTAAGGGTTCCCCGTCCCCTTCTGTGCTTGGCTGCATGGTAAGCTCCACCTGTGATAAAGGAAGAACTCCAGGGCCGGGAAAAGAAACGTCCTCAGGCGTGATGTCCCGGGGATCTCGCGGCTGCGCTCGCCTCGCCGCCTGCCGCCTGGGTCTGTGTGGGGAGGACTTGTTGGGGCTCTCCGGGGCTCTTTTGCTTAGTTGCTGCCTTTCGGCGTCGGGTGGCTCAGGACCTTGGAGGGAAGACGAACCGGGGCGGGTGATAACACTTGCAGGCCCAGCGCGGCTTACAGAGCATCTCAGGAACTAGAAGCAGCAGATGCAAGCCTGGGAGGAGATGTGAATTGTTTCTCCTGAAATGTTTACGATACACCTGCTAGGGGCTTTCTGTCGGGGGTCTGTGGTGTCCGTGTCGTTTGCGGTGGTCTCCAGGGGGCAGAGAGAGGTCCAAGCAGGGCAGACAGCTGCGGGCACCTGCGTGGTGGGGGCGGGGGTGGGTGGGTTGGACGGCTGGGATCAGGGGCTGGTGGAAGTGCCCCCCCTGAGGACCCCCAGGCGTATTGGCATGCCCCAGAAAACAGGACACGGAAAGGAAGCCCAGCTGTTGCTGAACATAGTTTTGAAGGCTGCTGGGGATCCCCAGGGTCTCTGCAGCCCTCCCTGGCGCACCCCCGAGTCCCGGCAGCCCCTGCCCGAGCCCCCTCCCTGTCTGATCAGGCAGAACCAAGGCCTTGTGGTCCACGCTGCAGATAACTCAGCCCCTGCCAGCTCCAGTGCGGTGCTCCTGTGAGGTTTTAGCTGGAAAACGGAAGCAGGGGTTTCTGAGGGATAGTTAGGAAACGTCTCTTTTTAAGGTGCACAGCAAGGGTCCAGCACTCCTGCATTGGTCTCGCTCCTCGGGTTTGCCGGGGCAGGTGTGTGTCCCTGGGCACTTGCAGCCTGGGCTTTCCAGCTGCGGCTGCCCAGCCACTTTTGCCATTGAGATACTTGTCGGTGGACGTGTTCTAGCACTGAGTACAGACGACTCCCAGGGGGAAGGGGGGCGCCCGGGTCCTCCCGTTTCTGTGTGTGCATTCAGCTTGCTTAGGTACAAAACATGGCTTTGTGTATGCTGACTGGGGGACATTGGCACGTTCTGCACAGAACTTTTAAAGATATTATTCATTTATTTTTTGAGCAAGTGGAAGTGGGGGAGAGAGAGAGGGAGAGAAATATCAACATGTGGTTGCCTCTTGCACGCCCCCTACTGGGGACCTGGCCTGCAACCCAGGCATGTGCCCTGACTGGGAATCGAACCAGTGACAGTTTGATTCGCAGGCCTGTGCTTAGTCCACTGAGCTACACCAGCCAGGTCTGCAGAAAACTTTTAAGTCTTAAACTCTCTCTGGCCTGGGTGTAATGGTCACTCCATTCCCCGTCCCGCCCTCGCACCTGAACCCTGAAGGGCCCTGTGCTGGCCTCAGGTCCCGGTAAGAAAGCCGTTTTAGCTCTCAGAAAACCGAGGGAGCCCCCCCACCCCCCAGCCAGCCACCAGCATAACTGAAGATCGCGGCTGAGACTTCGTACCCTTCCTACCCCGCGGGCACTGGGTGGGGTCTGAAGGCCCTTTTACAGTCTGATGTGCTCCAGGGACGGGTGTCTGTCTGTCTTTGTCACGAGGGAGCCTCGCTTCAGTAGGGGGTCACTTCAGGGTAGGGCCTCGTCTGAGAGTCCGATGGAAATCCTCCATGGTAGGGCTGAGGACTCTTGCTTTTTAATGCAGAAACTTGACTTCTGTTTGGGCATATTCTTAACCCCCAGAGAGCTGGGTTTTATTTTTCTTTCTCCATTCCATGGAAGCATATAGGGTATTTGGCCTTCCCCGCCACACACTCCTCTTTCTTTTTTCCTCTCTTTTGTACGTGGAGAAATGTATTTTTGTACCATGATCTCATACCTTGAAGAGACCCTTTTTATATCTTCAGGGCTGTGGGATGTATCAGTGCAACACTCCAGTTCATGTGGTGTAGAAACATCCCGGCGAGATGACCGCGGATCTGTCCCAAGTGAGACTCAGTTTTCTAAACCATCAGTGTTAATTTCCCGATACTTCAGCATCACAGTAAACACCAAGAACAGAATCTAGTCCAGAAAAGGAAAGGACCAACTGTCTCCCAATCGCTGGATTTGTGTGGATGTTTGGGGACCGATGTTTAGAATGTTGTCTTACCTGACACTCGAGAAAAAGATGCTTTCGGGGCACAGAGCCTTCCCTAATCCCTTAAATACATTTCCTGACACCAGTCAGCATTCCCGGCCTCCTGGGGTCTCTGCTTCGTGTTTCAGGGGTACCCCGTGTCATTTCCAGGAAGGAACGTGCAGCAACAGAACTTGAAAGCTTGTCCTGTGAATTGTGCCAGGGTCTTAATTTATAAAGGTGACCACACCAGGTCACAAAGGGGTTAATGCCGTTGAAAGGTTTTTAATCCTCAGGTCCCTGAGGGCACAGCACGCCACGCAGGGCCACACACAGCCTGTCCCAGGCGGGGTGGGCAGGGAGAGGACCCCCGGGGGCTGCGCTGGCATCCACTGCTGGGTGCGCGTGTGGGTCAGGGTGTGTGTTTGGGAGGGTCACGACTTTTGGGCACCCACCAGGGCTGGCTTCAGGGGACCGCAGGGACTTTGGCTGTTCATCTGTCTCTGATTCAGCAGCCTTACCGAGAGATTAGGAGTGACGTGTCAGACAGCCAACACAGACTCTAAAAATCCTACATGGCTTCATTCCATGCTGCCTGCTGCTTAAGATGCTTTTGATGAATGACATCCATCTGCCTTAGGGGTTGGTGCCCGCCGCCTTCGTCCTGCTGGGGTTGGAAGTGGCCGACTCAATCAGAAACGCAGCCCTCGGCCGCCCGGCTGTCACCCGCCCCCACTTTATTATTATTATTATTTTTTACGATCACTATTCTGCAGAGTTTTTGTTTATGGCCGTCTGAGCAGTTGGACTTTTGCCCCTCACCTGTGAATAATGGAATTATGTATCTTTTGCAGGATCTAACGCAGTACCTTTAAAGTTAGTGTCAGGCACCCATCGGTACGATGTACAATATCTGAGACAGACAGGCTTTGGTCCTCATTCGAACTCTGCCCTCTTCTCTTCTGTGATGGCTTGCCGTGGGGCAGGTGCAGCAGGACCAGATTTCCCCCTGTGCCGGCATCTAAGCTGATTGTCACTTGCGTCACGTACTGAACACCTGTGGCAGCTAGGGACGTTCGTGACCATATGTTCCAATGTCTTTTTGCAGATTTAAAGGTTTTAGTGTTAATTGAATATCTGCATGTGTGTGGAACCTCTGAGTACTGTAAATTAAATTGATTCCTTGTGACAGTGACAGTCAGTGACCGACGCTCAGCTCAAAGTCGCTGAAGCAATCGCCCTCCTCCTCACCGGAAGTCGTACGTGTGAGGTCCGGCGCCCATTGTCAGCAGTGCACTCACGATTCGGTTCTGATTCTGTGTACCTGGTTATGAATCGGATATAGCATTTAATTTGACGCTTCACATAAATCCGTCCGATCTGAACACAGTGGTGTGTGTGTGTGTATACATGCGTGGTGTGCACAGTTCAGCCCCATGAGCTTTGAGAAACTGATTCTACAAATATCGTGTATAGACATAAATGTATAAGGCTTATTTTTTTAATTTAATCTTTTTTTTTGGCAAAGCGATACATTCCTGTTATTTATTGAATAACTGGCTTTGGTGATAATGTAGAGATCTTTGTAGACTGATTTCAGAACAGAATTAAAATACTGTGAAAATTACAGCTCAATAAATGTTTATTGTAATTTCGTTGTACGGACTCCCTAAATATATTTCATCACTTCCGGCCAAGCATATGTGGGGTTTTCCCAAAGCGGTCATGTAAGGGGGATTCTGTGAGTCTGCTCCCCCTCTGAGATGGTCGTACGACCCAAATAGCACATGGGATGTACTTACACTAAAAATGTGTTTGTTGTTTATCTGAAATTCAAATTTAACCAGGCATTCTGCTCTGGCTAGTGTGGCTCAGTTGGTTGGAGCACTGTCCCATAGTCAGAAAAGTCACGGGTTCGATTCCCGGTCAGGGCACATGCCTGAGTTGCAGGTTCGGTCCACAGTCCGGGGGTGGGGGGTGGTGTGCATGGAAGGCACACCATGTTTCTCGCCCTCTCCCTCAACCCCCTTCAGCTCTCTCTAAATCAGTGAGCATGTCCTTGGGTGAGGATGGAAAACAAAAATTTAACCAGGCATCCTGTATTTTTATATGCGGATTAGGGGCACCCCAGCAGGGCTTTGAGGACCACCCTTCCAGCCCCACCCGGAGCCAAGATTCTTGAGAGATAACTTTGTGTGTGCTAAAAATGGTTTTCCCAGCAACATTCAGGAACAAATGTAACAAGAGAAAGTCAAGTTAAATCCACTATGGCCAACAATATTGCTCCTGAGTACATTTATATGGCAAGGAGAGTCTCACAGGGGCCCCCAGGGGACGGTGCGAGGCTAGTCGCTGTGACCGTCTTTGGACGCCGCCTGGCCAGCCCAGCTCCAGGAGACGAGCAGGCAGAGAAGGCAGCAGCCAGTAGCTGTGGCAGCCATGCTGGCGAGACGGTGGGAACCAGAGTGAGACAGGAAAACCGTCCATAAGTGAAGTAAATATGAGAGATTAAAATAACCATTTTTTTGCAAGAACACATCAAAAAAGAAAGATTTGAATGAAACAGCACGCTGGGGCAGAAGATGGGGACCCGGAGGAATGAATGAAACAGGAGCCAGTCCTCGCCAGGCGATGCTGTGCTGGCCGAGGGGACAACGCCTGTCTCTGCAACGAGAGCCAGAGGTCCCACCCCAGTCCAGCCTCCTTTGAGCGTCGCCAGCTTCCACCACGCCAGCTGCCTGGGTCACGGCCATCATTGGTTTAGTGAGTTTCATAAAAATAATATGTGTATGTTAACATGTAATGGGCTTAGCATTGTTATTTTTAATGAATATGTGTATATATATATATATATATGTGTTGCTCAAGTTTTATTTCTAATTTGGTAATTATTTCTAAGTTTATTATTAATTCTGAACGGTAGATATAACCCACAGAAACAAATGCTCCTGGTCTTCGGTAAAAAAGGCATAAAAAGGTCCTTGCCTTAGTCCATTTGAGCTGCTATAACAAAAATACCCTAGGTTGGAGGGTTTAAACAAGGAGCACTTATCACAGCTCTGCAGGCTGACGTCCAAGGTCAAGGTGTCAGATACTTGGTGTTGGGCGAGCGGCCGCTTCCTGGTTCAGCCACTTTGTATTCTGTGACCCCGGTTATTTGTCATTTCCTTCCCTCTGCACTTCGTGGGGTGCCCCCCACCCCCCAAGTGCATTGGGTCTCACTAGGAGCCCCATGTACTCATATCTGAGTATAAATGTTACGAATGTTATACAAATGGTAGAGTGACCGTGTCCCAAACGCAAATTCCTGCTTTCGTCCCACAGGAGCCAAGCTCTAGGCTGTGACTCAGCGACGTCAAGGGTGACTATATCGAGACTGGGGGAGACCAGCATTTGGGGCAGGATGACTCGTCCTGTACCCATCCGGTCGTCAAGGTGACAGCGCGCGGGTCTTCACGGTTGAAGGGCGACCCCGCCCCGCTGCCCAGCTCCTATTGGGCACGCCTTCTTCTACCTCTCCTTTCAGATTGGCTGGGAGGCGCGACCCATACAACGGAGCCACTAGCGATTGGTTGGCCCTCAACCCCTGTGCGGCAGCCGATGTGGGACCAGCGCTCCACTAGCCAATCAGCGTGCAGGCTAACTGTGGTGCGTGCGTGTGGTCGGGATCCTTCCGCCGCTGCCTCCTCCCAGCGCTCCGCGCTTGAGCTGCAGGCTGAGCGTCGGCAGGGGCCGGCGGAAGCCCGCGGGAACTGGCGCGGGCGCACCTGGCGGAGGCCGCGAGCACTCCGTGCTGCCAGGTGGAGGAGAAGGAACAGAGTCGGGCAGGTTTATGAGAGCGGGCTTTGCCTGCTTGTAAGGACGCCTGCGGCAAACTCAAACTCTTGCTTAACATCCAAAAGAACGAAGGAACAAAAACACCCAGAGAATCACGAATACAAATAAATTCAATACATAAAAGGACGCTCGTAAAAAATAAAGGGAAGGTTTAAATTGCCCAAAATGTCCAAGACATGCTCATATAGACTTGCAGTAGACACAAGAGGGACAGATGCCGAACCCCTCCGCCCTGAGGTCGTTCGTCTTTCCAAAACGTCTGTCCAGGTGCTGCCGTGCGCCGGACCTCCCGGGAGTGGCTGGTGAACCAACCAGACGGGCGGGGCGGGGCGGGAGTGAAGCGCTTTCCGGCAGCGTGCTGGAGGCTCGCCAAGGACTTGCTTTCAGATGCTGATAAGTGCTGTGGATACCAACAGGGTCATGGGTGGAGGAGCTATCCGGCTGCGATTCTGAATCGCACCCACACGCAATAAAATGGGGTGGGGGTGGTATCAGGGTGGCCAGTGACGCGGGCTGTGGAAGAATTCACAATGACAGCCCAGAGCAAACCTTTATTTGCTTTCTAAGGGAGGAAAGAGGCTAGGCTCCAGAGAAATGCAGCAGCCCCGAGGGGTTAGGGCACCAGATGGGAGGGGTTAGGGCTCTGAGCTTTCCCTGGATTGCTACGAGGAAGGACAAGGGGCTGCAGTCGCATGACAGCAGCGGACACAGACTGGATGCTTCCGTTGGTTGGTTGCATCCAGTGGGCTCGAGTTTGCCCAGATGTTATCTGTAGGCTCAGGGTCCAGCCCCTGCAGCCTGGCTGGTCCCATTTCGTACATTTTCCCAGCCTCTGTGGCTTCAGGGTGTTTCCAATTACTTTCTAGTCCTGAGGACAGAGTAGTCAGTCATGCGCTATGGGGTCACGCTATCTCTGGCAAAGACCACCCGAAAAAGGCGCTTTTCTCCTTTTAGGTGGGATGGCTTTTCCAAGGAGGAGCGGCACTCCAGAGGCCTTTTACTACGTGCATAGCCCGGGGTGGGGTGGGCACAGCATGGAAAAGGGAAGTGTGTATGCGAGTGGAAATGAGACTTCTTTGCATCTTACTACACCCTCTAGCGCTTTCCTATACTAGATGGGCCGGAGGAACACACAGGAGACTCTTTATGTTTCATGATCCTTTCCTCGGGAAGCCTGTCTTCTGCAGAAAGGGAGGAGGAGGAAGCCACATCAAGGCAGGCCGTGGGGAGGCGCCTCCTCGGAGTGTCCCCTGAGCCTGCAGCAGCCGGTGTCAGTGAGCTGGAGGGAGAATGCATCCACCTGGCACCTACCCCTGCTTCCCCAGAACTTCGCTGTCAAGGGCAGGCACAGAAGACGACGATCAGGATAACTGTCTTGCCCTGTCAAGGAAAAAAAAAATGAAATAACGGGTTGAGTGCCTGGGAAGGCGGTGGGAGGAATGCTTAATGAGTTGGCCGGCCGGGGAAGGTCCGGTTAGAGGGGGGGACGCTTGACCCGATGGCCAAGGTCTGTGTCAGGTGATTCAAGCAGAAAGGGTCTGACGCATGGAAAACCAGTTTGCTGAAGGCCGGTTTGCCAAATCCTCAAGTCACTGGATTTGCAGAATTGGCCCGACTGACCCATCTACCAAAACCCAATCCCTGGTGGCTTAATCTTCTTGAATGAGAGTCAAACAACCATCTAGTCTTTTGAGTTTTTTCCTTGACTATAAGAAAATGCTCTCCATGAATAGATTTTTATTTAGTCGATTCAGGAACATCCGGCCAGAGGACCCTGGGTGCTCCCCTGCAGTGTCCTCACCGTGGAGTGTCTGTGCCCGGCGTGTGAGCTCTGAGGTGCGGGGAGGGGTGCGCTGCGCCCGCCTGGTTCCCGGTCCCAGTCCCTGACCCGCTGCTGTAGGCTCTCTTGTCCGTCACCGGCAATCTGTTGAATGACTGAGTCCCACGGCCAGACTGTGCGTGTGGAAATCTCCCTTTCCGGGCGTCAGGACGGAGAAAGTTTGAAGCCGGAGGCTGCACCTTTGGAAGTACCGATCACGCCGGGAGCCTTTGCGTGTTCGCTCCAGAGCAACCGTTGTGAGGCAAAACAACCCTCAATGTAATGTCGTCGGAGGCGTGAGGCCCTGCTGCTATTTATTTGTTTAATCGTGAGAAGTGTGCGGAAAGACGGAGCACGGTCCGTGGGTCCGGTTTGGGAAAGAATGCGCACGCACCATGTCCCTGTCACCCAGTCTGATGGGGCGCGGCCAGTACCTTGGAAGCCCCTCCCCAATTTCACCCCCTTTTCTTCTCTTAGAAGAAACCTGTGCCCTGAAAGTGAAGTATTTTTTTTTTGCCCCTCTTTGTTTTTCTAACACGCATGTGTCCCTAAACCAGAGATCCTGGGTTTTGCCCGCTTCCGGCCTCGTTGTAAAAGGAAGCAGACGCTTGAGGCGCGTCTGTGGCCTGGTGCGCGCCTCTGCCCGGCATCACGGTTTTGAGACTCATTGTCCTGCTGGCTCGTCTTTGGGGCGCCCCTTCCGAGGCGCAATAGCGTTCCCCTGGGTGGCTCCCCCGCTTTGACCCCGCCCTACTTCTGTTGAAGATGCTGGCTTAGGAGGCCGCATTCCCTCCTCAGCCTTGTCCTTGGGGATGGCGAGGAGGTGGGGAGCTTGAACTCTGAGACATCGCTCCGGGCACCCCGGTAACTGGCGTGCACCCCATCGCCGCAGGCCCGTGGGTGGGCGGGGAGGGTTGTGGCAACCGTCCCAGGAGGGCTGGGGAAAGAAGTCCTCGAACACCCTCTGGCCCGATACCCTCAGGGAGCCTGGCTGGGAGTCCGATGGGAATCATACCCACCCCCCCCCCACCCCCCCACCCCCGCTCCGGATGGGCCTGGAGGGGCTGCTGTGCGCGCGGCAGCCGGCGTCTCGCCCGTCTGCTCTGCTCCCCTTCCCCGTAGCCCCACTGCATTACCCCTTTCGTCCTGACTTGGGGAAAATCAGTTTTACGCTAGAATTTGTTCTCCCGTCTGCGCCCCGAGGTTGCGTATCTAACCCGGCAGCATGCCCTCTTGGTTCTGCTTCCCAAAGTGGCTCTGTGTATGTTGAAAGATCTCTCCACCCACCCACCCATCATCTACCCTCTTCTCACCATCCCCACCTTTCCACCCCAGTCCACGCCACTATCACACCCCATGGGGACTTTTGCAAAACCCCCTAAGAGGTCCTCTGATTGTGCCCCGCCCACCCCAACCCCAACCCCATCCCTTTGAAATCGAAGTCACATCACACCCCACTCAAAACTTTCCAAAGGGCTTGTAATTACACCCTGAATAAAATCAAAAGTTTACCCCTGGCCTCCCAAGGCCCCACGTGGCCAATACCACTGGGCTGTGCCAGTACGCCTCAGGGCCTGTGACTCTGTCTGGAAGGTTCTTCCCAGAGACCAGCCCTGGGCTGGGCGCTTCACCCCACGTGGGCGGAGAGTCTTCAGTTCTCATCTTCCCTGGCCGGCGGGACCCTGAGACGCAGGAGCTGATGCAGGGGTCCCGGCTTGGGTTTCGGACCTTCCCTAGTTATTACCGAGAGCCTTCCATCTCGGAGCAGGGGCGATGGGTGTACTAAAGGGAAGAGAGTCCCCTGGGGGGAAAGAGCAAGAAAAATGGCCTTTGGTGATTGCTTCAGTTACAATGCCTTTGGCAGCGGTTACGACAGCTCGGCAGCCAGCGGCTTAAGCCAGGATGGCAGTTACTGTTCCTTCAGCCAGAAGCCCAGGGCCAGTCCCGGGCTCGCGCTGGCGGCCCAGCGGAGCGGCTAGGCTTCCCCCTCTTCTGCCCCGACACGCCGTGTTTATGCGCTTTCCGCAGCGTTGTTTCTGGGGGTCGCGAAGTGTCTGTCTCAGCTGCCAAGGACCGGGCTCATCAGAGGAAAACCGGCCCAGAGCCCCCCAGTCCATCACACTCTCCTTTGGTCTCATTGGCTAGAATTCGGTCTCATGAGTTACCCTGCGCCAATCCCTGGCAAAGGAGAAAAGGGAGCGCTGTGATTGGCTTAGACTGGTGGGCCTTTAAATTGGGGCATATTGATCCCCCGCGGGTACATAAAGAATTTCCAAGGGGCGTGGGCATCCAGATGCTTTTAATGCACTCAATTTACAGATCCTCCATCTCACATGTCCTCGGCCCTTACGATCACGAGGGAAATGACGCGCATGCCCATTGTCCTTCACCACTTGACGGCGGCAGAGGCTGACTCGGAACTCCCCCCCCGCCCCCGCCCCGGTTCTGGACTCGCCCCGGGTGTAAACAGCAACCCCACCCCAGAGCCTCCTCCTTTAATAGCTGCCTGCCATTCGCTCACATTTCTCTGGCTCGGACATTTCTTCCAGGCAGAAAGTTTGGCTTGGGTTGAAACGTTCTAATTTTGGAACGACCAAAGTAGTGGCATTTACTGATTCTTATAACTAAAAAATGTAGGATTTTCTGATACTTTAACATTTTTCCAGATACATTAAGGAACATCGAATACATTTTAAAATGCAGTTTCTTTCCGAGTTGGTATGCATTAATCAGTAAGATAAATAAAATGTATTTTATTTAATCACGTCGGGGCGTATTCATTCCAATGACAGCAAAGCCTCTTCTCACTTTGTTATCAAATGCTCAGTTAAAAACATGGCCGTGCAAGCCTATGAGGGAACTTTCTAGAAGTCAGTTCTTGGCACCGTACTCCCAGGAGACACCCTGAAGGTGGCAGCAGGCAGGCGTTCTCAGCGGGGGCGGGGGGGGGTGTGTTGGACGTCTACCAGGCTATTTTCCAGCCCCCTCCCGGAGACAGAAACTTTGCTTTTTTCCCAGCCATGCCTGCATTGCGACATCTGTTTCTGAGTGCACAAAGACTATCGTGCTTTGCGAAGAGGACGAATGTCACACTGTCAGAAGCACGTGAACCCTCCTGACCCCGGCTTCTTCCTCCTCTAGGGAGGCCTCGCCTTCTCCAGACCACCCCTGTGGGCCTGTCTGGGGCAACTCCTGGCTATTTCCAAACACTCAGGCCCCACCCATGAAAGGACTTTCAACAGACTCCAGAGGACTCAACCTGTTCCCCCAGTTTGCTGCATTGGTTAATGGCCAGCTGAACAGTGAGGACTTTGAAACGTGGTAAATGTAACTTAACGCACACCCTGGTGGGAGAGAGAAACATCATGGGTGGGCTTATCCACGGAGGGGCTAGCTAGCAGGGCAGGTTTCGAGGAATGACGAGGAGGTCCATGCTCCGAGGGAAGTGCCCGTGTCCTTGGCCTGGCAAATTTCTACCCTCTTTCTGGAAAGTTCTGAAGCACCTGCCGTGTGATGGGGACGCACAGGTCAGGAGTGTGGTGGACGTGGGGTGTCCATTTGAACCCCTTACCAAAAAAAACCAGCAACAGGGACAAGCGTGATCTGGGATTGCAGCTAACCAAGGCGGGTGACGCAATGTTCTTGGAAAAGCAGGACCCTTCCAGCTCTGTTCCTATTTTCAGTGGAAAGAACTGTCTCAAATCTGTTCTCCACCTCCCGCCGTCCTGATCTTGTTAGGAAGAGTGGCGCGTAGCAAGGTGGGACCCCGAAACGCACCTCCGCACACTCGTGTGTCTGGGGGCATGTGCCAGGAGCGGTGACAAAGCGCCCAGTTCCCTCACTGACCTCGCCTTCTCTCCCTGGGCCCCGGGTCTGGGTGAAGGGGCCAAAGGGATTAAGAATGAACCAAGTGGCCGTCAGGTGGGTGTATAAACCCAACCCTTCCCGGTTCCATGAGAATTGGCCAACCCAGTGGTCGGACTCCAGACTTCCGTGGCCCCTGAGGGCTGGGTTCATTCCTTCCACACAGGAGCTCCGTAGCCTCGTCCGCAGCAGGCATGCATGAGCTATTTCTGAATGCATGCATGCATGCATGAATGAATGAATGAATGAACGCACGAACACAGCTGGGAGCCCTGCGGTGAACCAGTGTGACAAGGATTCTGCTCCTCTGGAAGCTGAAGAAGGGGTGAACCTTCACAAAGGGCTAGCCCCCGGCCCTAGGGCGTGGAGGTCGGTGGATGGGGCTGTTCTGGCAGCCAATGGAGTAAGCACCCTGTTTAAGTGAGAACCCGTGCTTATTTGCGGTGCCTGGGAGATGGAAACTGTGTCGGGGTGGAGGGGGGAGGTGGCTTCACAAACCTTCAACACCACAAAATACTGTACTTGGGGGGGAGCAGGTGGGGTTGCTGGGAGAACGAATTACGGCAGGGATATAGGGAGGGTTGCTAGCTCTGGGCACCAAGATACTGCAGGAGTACCACCAGTAAACACAGTCAGAGCCCGTTCCTACTCTGCTCAAAACCTTCCCATTCTCATTGCGTGGTGGTGTGGGGGGTGGGGGGAGCCAGCTCACCCCTGCCACCTTCTCAGTGGGATCTTCCCTGCCACCTCTATTTAAATGGAAACCTCCCACATTACCTACTACCCTTTCCCCTGCTTTATTTCTCCCCACGCGAACCGTATTCTACGTGTTCCTCTGCTACGTATATCACGATGCTCACTGGTATACTGTGTGTGGCCCCGTGAGCATTATTATCCTGTGTGCGACCTACACGGGACGTGTTTATTTGTTCGTGGTCTGCCTCGCCTCCTCCGCACACCTGCCCCTCTCTCCTTCCGTGCTGCAGAGAACAGCAGGGCTTCTGCTTTGCTCCCGGCTGCCTGGCGCCCAGCAGGCGCCCAGTGTGAAAAAAATCACGAGGGAACCTAGAACACCTGATGGAACCTGCTGCTCTGGCTTCCAGGGCTGCTTCCACCCCCAACGCGCCTGCGCCGCTCCAACCGCCGCGGAGGAGCAGGTCGGAGACCTGGCCGCGCTGCGCTCGCACTCCTTTGCAAGGCGCCGCACGCGCGGAGGGTTACACTCGAGAGCGGCGACGAATTGAAAGGGTGGAGACGCCTGTGGGCGTGGACTTCGGCGGGCGGGGGCTTCGGTGGGCGGGGCTCGCCGCGTGTTTTACTGGGGGCGGCCGCGCCTGGTTCAGTTGCGCTTTCCGCGGCGTGTGCAGCCACCTGCCCTCGACCCTAGCTCTCGCCGCGCCCCGGCCCCCGCCGCGCCCCAGCCGCAGCCATGTCCAAGGAGCCGCGGGCCGGGCGGGACGAGATCCTGGAGGGCCAGGTGATGTGGGAGCCGGACAGCAAGAAGATCACGCTGATGGACCGCTTCCGGGCGGCCGTGGGCGCTGCCTGCGGCCTGGAGCTCGGTGAGTGAGCGTGGCTGCTAGGGGGCTCCCGGGCCACCTCCTTTGGGATCCGAGGGGCTCCCCTGGCGGACGGGCTCGCCTCCTGGGGCCCTGGCGCCCCCTTTTCCTGGACGTTGCTCTCGCGGCTCCTCCTAGTTGTTGGAAGGGCTTCCCAATGTTGTTTCCCTCTTCTGGGGTTGGAGGAGCCGCTGGACTTGCGTCCCTCTCCAGGGGGTGCGGCGCCTCGGACTGTGGGGGTTTGTCCCCTTGCCCGTGCGGGGCATCACCTCCCCACTTTCTGAGTGCTGGGCTTCTGACTGCAGCACCTCCTGCGCGTGCGGTGTCCTCTTCTGGGGGGGGTCCCTCCCTGCACCCAGCTGTCCCTTGTTCACAGGGTTCCTCCTTGTGAGGTGAGGTGCTCATCGCCGTCTTGCACTCCAGCGCCCCCCGCCCCCCGCCCCCTGGCTTTCTCCGGAGCACACAGGCCTTTCTGACTTGCAGCTCCTCTCCTCCGTTTGTGGGGGTCGCACCTCATGCTGTTTCTTGTTAAGAGCCCCCACCCCTCCCCCGGCTGACCCTGCTAGAAGGCCAGCGTGTCATTTCAGGGCGCCAGGGAGAAAGATGGTCCCATGGCAGCTGCCTTTGGGGCTGCCCTTCCCTCTTGCTCACCCTCCCAGCCCTGAGCACATATGGAGGGCCCTCCTCCCAGCCACCCCTCGGCCTCCGGAGCCACCAGGCTGGGTACGGGCAGGGCAGAGCAGGACCCTGTTTCTGGGGGGCGCATGCATGTGCTTGCCCCCAGCTCTTGCCGGCTTGTCCCCCCACCTGCTGGGCCTTTCAGCTCTTCGTGGCGTTTCCTCCCCTCTTGCCCCCTCCGCTGCCTGTACCAACTCCTGTGATTCTGCTGGTGGCATCCGCTTCCTCAGTCAGCCTCACAGAAGTGGTGACCTGTCATCTGGCTTGGACAGGGTGTCCGCCCCAGCCACACCGGCTTCTTCCATCCCCCCCTCCCCCCACCCCGGCGCCAGCACCCGCACCTCTCCTGGGGCCCCTGTTATCTCTTCCCGGGACACTGGCTGGTCTTCCTGCTTGCTGCCTTTCCTCCCGCCTTCAGCACACCCTGCGTGCCTTGCCCGGGCGGGCTGGGAGCACAGGTCTGTCTGTCACCCCTTGGCTCCCGGGCTCTCAGTGGCTCCTCGCTGACCACGAATTGCGAACGGTGCAGCCGGCAGCTCCCACCCAGCCCCCTCCCTCGGCCCCTGCAGCCCCGTGCCCCTCCCTCCTGCCCGCTCACCCGAGACTGAGCAACTGGAGGCAGATGGGTCTTGTCGCTCTTGGGGCCTTTCAGGCGGTAGCTGAGAGGTTTACGAAATCATCTCACCCACGGGCAGTCCTGTCGGACGGGTGAGACCACGCTGTAATTTGACAGCCTGGGTTGGAACTGGCCCTACCACTGGCTGGCTGCGTGATCAGGTGCAAGTCTCTGGATCGCCCCAAGCCTCTGTTTCATCATCCATGAAGCAAGCCATGTGTGTCCCAGGGTGGGTGCGAGGTTGCAGGAGGTGGCCCGGCGGGCTTAGTTCAGGTGGCTCCCCTGCTGGGGGACCACGTGGGAAAAGCCAGATTTCCACCTTCTCCAGAGAAGCCAGCAGCCTTCCTCTGTGTGTGCCCCCGCTCCCAGGGTTGGGGACAGCGAGGACGGGGTGACCTATGGTCAGCCGAGGACGGTGACATGGTCCAGCTCAGCCGCTGGAGGAGGCCCCGCACAGCCTGCTGGCCATCCCCCCGCTGTGACCGTGTGCGGGGCACCAGCCTGTGAGAGTCTGTCCCGTGGAGGCGGACGAGGCCCGAGGGGGCAGGACTTTCTGCGGGTCGCAGGGTCAGAGCCTGGCGTGAAGGGGCCGAGTGCCCCGAGCGCGGGGTCAGAGCGGGGGACGTGCTTCCTCGCACACGAGCTCTCCCGGGGGCTGCTCTCCGTGACTGGGGGCATCTGGGCCAGCAAAGTCCGTTTACTGTGTGGCCCTCTATACCTCTGTGATTTTGAATCGCGGGACTGGATCGCTTACTCAAAAATCAAAATAAATAGATGACCCCCCCTGCCCCCAACACCACGCTGGAGTGAGAGGGCCTCAGCAGGCTTCCGGTTTTGACCTTTGGGGTGTCCCGGTCTGTCTGGGGCAGGGGTGGCAGACCCCTCCTGCAGCCCGACCCCGTCCAGGGCCCGCTCTCGGCCTCCTGTGCACATGCCCACCAAAGCCCCCCGGTGGCATTGCGGAGAGGGGCTCTGTTTATCACCCCCGTTTGACGGATGGGGAAACTGAGGCACAGTACGAGCCGAGGTAGCTTGCCTGAGGTCGCACGGCTCCTAAACGGCCAAGCCAGGGCTGGAGCCCAGGCCCCGAGGCGCCTGGGTCCTGTTCTTAGGCGCGCCGGGCAAGACACGGAGCCTCATGGCTTTTGCTCCCCTTGGGGATGGGCGGCGGGGGGCTGGCTGCACCCCGACGTTTCTCGGCAGGTGCCTGTGCGTGGCTCGGCACACCCACAGTTCCACAGGGGCGCCCCCTGACTGCCGGGCCTCGGGGGCTGCCCCTCGGAGACTCACCGGGCTCTGCGCCCTTGTGTTCTGCCTCTAGAGAACTACCACGACCTCTACCAGTGGTCGGTGGGGTCGTACGCGGACTTCTGGGCCGAGTTCTGGAAATTCAGCGGGATCGTGTCTTCGCGCATGTACGACGAGGTGAGTGGGGGTCTTGTTCTGCACTGTCTTTTCCCGGCTGTGGTCCGGAGTGAAGCGTGGGTGTCTGGGAACACCGCGTCGTCTCTTCCTCTACAGCCTCTCATCGGTGGGGTGCGGGGGTGGGGGGTCAGCGCTGCAGAGTCGTGCCGGGGTCACGAACCCCACGCCGGCTCTGGCCCCTCCGACGCGTGTCCGGGGAGGGGGCTTGACCACCCTGAGCAGTTGGGCATCGTTTTACGTTGATTTTATTGAAAAGCTGTAAAAGGGCGATAAAATGCACGTGACATGAAATTTATCATCTTGGCCACTTTCAAGTGTGCGGCTCGACGACTTTATGGTGTGTGCGTTCATGCTGTTGGTTTTTTAAACTCTCAGCAGTGAACCTGGATTTAGAGATTGCTTTTTAAGTCCTTACCCACCAATTAGTAAATAGCTGGGAAAAGGAAGTCCTGTTATTCAAAGTATAATTGATTGTGTGGCTTTTTAAAAAGATTTTATTTATTTATTTTTAGAGAGGAAAGGAGGAAGAGAGGGAGAGACCATCAGTGTGTGGTTGCCTCTCGTGTGCCCCCTACTGGGGACCTGGCGCACGACCCAGGCATGGGCCCTGACTGGGAACCCACCCAGAGACCTTTTGGTTCGCAGGCCGGCCCCTAACCCCAACCCTCAGTCCACTGAGCCACACCAGCCAGGGCGGCCTTATTTACTGTCCACCTTCAGCACCTCCCCGAATTAGGTGCTCAATAAATATTTGTTGAGAAATACATTGGTGGGGGCGGGGTTTCCCCTTGGCCTTCATCGTCAGCGCTTTATGGGGGAATAACGGGCAGGCCCAACTGCGTGTCCTCGAAGTGGGTGACGGGGTGATCTGGTGCGCGTGCACGCTGTGGAGTCAGCGTGTCCGTCGCCCCACAGCGCGGGGACTCCCTTTTTCTCGCGGTGGGAACGCCGGCGCCCACCCTCCGGGCCCTCGGGCACACAGTGCCGCCCAGTCGAGCGGGGCCCTCGCGGTCTGTGCAGGCCGGCCCGGCGCTCAGTCTGGAAAGCGAGCGGAGGACGCGCCGGGCGTCCCGGTCGGTGGGGCCGCGGTTACCTCCTCCTCACCGTGCCCACCTCACGCGTGGCCATGCCATGGCCTGCCGTCCTTTCTCTAGGTCGTGGACACGTCCAAAGGGGTGGCGGACGTGCCCGAGTGGTTCCGGGGCAGCCGCCTGAACTACGCGGAGAACCTGCTGCGGCACGAGGACCAGGACAAGGCCGCGCTCTACGTGGCGAGTGAGTCCCGGCGGCCGCCCCGACGCCCCGCTCGCCTCTGCCCGGGCTCCGGCGGGACTCTCAGGCCGCACCCCAGCACCCCGGCTCTCTCTGGTTTTGGCAAAAAACATGTCATGCTACATTTTTTTCAACCACTTCTAAGCACAGCTTAGCGGCGTTAGGTGCACTCACGCCGCTGCGTGAGAGACCCCTAGGAGCTTTTCGTCTCCCCCGCTGAACCTCTGTGCCCGCGAAGGACCAACCCCCGCCCCCCCACTGACCCCCACGGTGAGGTGGCGCTTTCGAGAACCTCGCTGACACACGGAGCCACCGGCACTTCTGTGACCCGAAGAGCTCGCATGCCAGGGTCCCCTCGCCTCTCCCTCCTGGCCCCTGGGTACACCTGGCACACCTGCGTGCGCTCCATGCACTGCGTCAGGCCCTGCAGGGGCACCTGGTGACCCCCGCCCCGCCCTGAGGACAGTGGAAGGTCACACATGAATCTTCTTGTACAAGCAAAACACAGAATATGCCTAAAAACAGCAACACACCCGCCTGCTACCCAGGCGGGGGAGTGACGGGGTCAGCGTGACTGCGTCCCGCCTCTCGCTGCGGAGCTTGACTTTTAAATAGCGGAGCCTCTTCCTGTGCTGAGCTCTTCCCCCCCCACCCCATATTTGCACTGGGACCAGGTCCCCTCGAGCCAGGGGTCAAACTGAGATTGCACGTGGGTGCCTTCCCTGAGCAGGGCCCTCCCCTGGCTGATCGTTGGTCGGGGCCCGGAACGTGCTTGTCCCATTTCCTGCGTGTTTCTCCAATCTGGGGGGCTTCATGCCCCCGCTGTGCGCAGGTGTTCCAGCCCCCACCCTACTCACAGACCCTCCCAGCCGGGCTCACCCCTCCTGCGCACACTCCGGCGGGGTGGGCAGTGGCACCCAAACGAGCCTGCGCCCCTCTGTCTCTTCCAGGGGAAGGCAAGGAGGAAATCGGGAAGGTGACTTTCGAAGAGCTGCGGCAGAAAGTGGCTCTGTTTGCGGCGGCCATGAGGAAGATGGGCGTGATAGCAGGAGACCGCGTCGTGGGTGAGTGCTCTGGGCGCTCGTCCCGGTTTGTGGGGGGAGACCGCGGCGGAGGGAGTGGCCTGGGGGGTCGGGGCGACTTTGGAGTGAGGCCGGAGTCATGTGGTGACGTTCAGTGGCGCCTGCAGCAGACGTAGACGAGGAGGGCGGGTGGCTGAAGGTGCTGCCTCCTCGGCAGCCTCTGAGGGCCCTGGGCTCCTGGGCTGTGCGACCTGCTTCAGCGCCTGCGCCCCGACTTTGTCTGTGTCTGGGGCGGCAGAGAGGCTGTGTCTCTCCTGGGCAGAGAAGTTCTGCTTCTCAGCCCTGGCCCTCCCCCGGCACCCAAGGGGGGGCCGGTGGCAGTGACAGCTGACAGCGGGGGCTTCCGGTGGCGGTTTCCAGGCCAGGGTGGGGCTGAGGTTCTGCGTGCATTTTGCTATGCCGCTGAGGTCGCTGCAGGTGAGTTCCCGGGATCAGAAATCAGATTTTGTTCTGAAGCCCGAGATCTTGACTGGAGACCAAGTTTGCAGTTTCTCTTGTGCACTTGAGATTCGGCAGGTTTCCCGGAGGCGGGGGAGAGCCGGGCGGGGGCCTGGTCACAGGTCAGTAAGACCATGTGCTGTTTGCTTTGAAGGGAGGGTCTGACAGGCAGTCAGCTGTTAGAGGGCGGGGCCCCAAAGGGGGCGTCGCAAAGGTGCGCGCTCACCTGGATGCTCACCTGGATGCTCACCCGGATGCGCAGAACAGGGGACGGGGCTCGCCTGAGGCACCGGGAAGCCTGGCTGTGAAGGAGCCTCGTGCCCCAGGGGGTGACCGCCGCCCTGGCCTGCCCGGGAGGGAAGGGAGCCATGGTCAGCCCACTTCCTAGCACCGCTCCTTCCTTCCCTCCTGCCCCGTCCTCTTCAGAGTGTCCCTCCGAGCCCCTCTTTGGGGTGCCACGGCACCCCCGACCCTGAGTCGTGTTGCCGACCTTTGTGGTAACGGCGTGGTCCCTGTCTGTCTGTCTGTGTTTGTGACTGTTTGATGGTCAGCCCCTCCACCGAACCCTGAGCCCCACGAGGCCAGGCCCCTGGTGCGCCGCCCAGCGCGGCCTCATTGAAATAGAATCCACACGCCGTGCTGCCCAGCCATCGGAAGTGCCCGAGTCCGTGGCCTTTAGGATACTCAGAGTGGTGGGAACCTCACCACAGTCAATTCCAGAACATTTTGCCCACCCGCAGCCCACGGTCGGCGCTGGGGGTTTGTCTGTCGAGGACCATCCGAGTAGACGGAGTCACGTGCCGCGCGGCTCCGCGGTCCGGCCGCCTTCGCACGCTGCCGGAGTGGGCGCAGCGGTGGCTGCCAGCAGGTCGCTCCTTTCCCGGCCCCGCCGTCTCCCACGGCACGGGCGGACGGCGCTGTGTGTGTCTGTCACCCGCCGGTGGGTGCTGGGTGGAGCGGGGCTTTGGACCCACTGATGCTGAGGTTTGGCGTGGGTGGGGGCCCAGGACAGGGCGGAGACCTGGCTGGGGACACTTTGGGGGCCTTGTCCTCGGCTGGCCAGAGGCGGCTTTCCCGGCCACGGCCATGCGGGGTCGGCGGCCGGGCCCTGGTCAGGGAGGGAGTTGACGGGAAAGGGTGACCCGATGGTGAGGGACACGCCGAGTTGCCCCGTCTCGCCCTCGATGGCCTGTTGCGCACCTGTGGCCTCGCCCTGGGTCATCTGGGTCTCTGTTCCGATGGTTCCTGCTCAGGGGCTGTCCCTGGAGAGAGAGCCCCATGGAGAAACCGGGTGCTGGGCTCTCCTTGTGCCCCGCTTTGCTTTCCTGGCCTCCTTGCCGCCCCCCTGAGACCGCAGGGTTCTGCGTGTGCGTGGCTGCCCTCTGGGACCAGGGGCCGTGCGTCCTGTCACTACCATGTCTCACCTGCACCGAGTGCCTGGCACGTGGCAGGTGCATGACGGGTATTTCTGGGGGGAATGAGCGAGCTGGCCGGCGGTCAGAGCGGCATTGTCGTGGCTGAGGCCTCAGCATCTTGGGTCCAGTGTAGTCTGCACCCTTCCAAGGTCTAGAAAAGGGATTTTGAAAGGTTCTTCTCCAGCTTTTTCTTCCCTCCGGTTCTCATTTTCAAACGCCTCCTCTGAAGCCTGAGTTCTGAAGGGGCACCGAGGGCAGGTGTGCGGGGAGGACTGTGGAGCCCCCTTGGCCGTGCTGGCTCTGGGGGACCCCAGGGGCTCCAGTGGCCTGGACTCTTCAAAGCCAGGCTGGTGCTCGGTGGCTGCAGGACTGGACTGGGCGTTCCCTGGGGGCGGAGCGCCAGGGAGCAGTTCTGGGGGAGGACTAAGTGGGCAGATGCTTGCCGGGCGTCGTCGCTGACGGAGTCAGGGCTGCTCCTGGCTCGGTTTCCTGTGTCGCCTCCCCACGGTTGACCATCCAGCTGGGCCGCGCAGCGTCCCTGGGTGGTGCGCCATCGGGAGGTGCTGGCGTGCCCTCACCCCCAAAGCAAACATCCGGTACCTGCCACACTCCAGATGCTGGGGGGAGCCCCGCCTGGCAGACGCTGGGGCCGGGCCGGGCAGAGGCAGCGCAGCCCCGAAGTAATGGAGGCGCCCCTGCCTTGGCCAGGGGGGTCCGGAGCAGTGGAAGGAGGGGCGGGGGGCATGTCCGGGGTTCTCGGGGAGGAGCCCAGTGGGCGTGGCGGCCAGCCCGGGAGCCCTGCTCAGGGAAGGCCTTTGGCCCTGGCCCTCCTGCCCCGGTGCCTGGTGCACGAAGCCTTTCCTCTGGACGTTTAGGACGGTCCGCTTAATTGACCGGAGTCTCTCTGGCCCTAGAGGTTCCCTGTCTCTCGGCGAAAGCCCAGCCTCTGACCCAACGGAGGCCTGAGCCCCTCCTCCGCCCCTTGGAGGCCTGTGTGTGTCCGTGCGGTCCTGCTCGCGTTCTCCATTCCCCTCTCCTTGCTCTCCGTCGTCGGCCACCCCTCCCTCCCTCTGTCGTCCATCCATCCATCCATCCATCTGTCCGTCCATCTGTCCATCCATCCGTCCTCCATCCATCCATCTGTCCGTCCATCCATCCATCCATCTGTCCATCCATTTGTCCATCCATCCATCCTCCATCCATCCATCCATCATCCATCCACCATCCATCATCCATCCATCCTCCATCTGTCCATCCATCTGTCCGTCCATCCATCCATCCATCTGTCTATCCATCATCCACCATCATCCATCCATCATCCATCATCCACCATCCATCATCCATCCATCCTCCATCCATCCTCCATCATCCATCCATCCATCCATCCATCTGTCCATCCATCCATCTGTCCATCCATCCATCTGTCCACCCACCATCCATCATCCATTCATCCATCATCCATCTGTCCATCCATCTGTCCATCCATCCGTCCATCCATCCATCCATCCATCATCCACCATCATCCATCCATCATCCATCCACCATCCATCCACCATCCATCCATCATCCATCCACCATCCATCCATCATCCATCTGTCCATCCGTCTATCCATCATCCACCATCATCCATCCATCATCCATCATCCACCATCCATCATCCATCCATCATCCATCATCCATCTGTCCGTTCATCCATCCACCAGCAGCCGACAGGCCAGTATGGGAGGGCCTGGACAGGCGGGGCACGGCAGAGCAGAGAGTAGGATGGACGCGGTCTCTGCCGTCACTTGAGAACCAGGTGTTGACCAGCCCGTCGTGATTATCATACATGGGGGATCGTTGTGGTGTGCTTGGTAAGGGAGGAATACAACGTGCTCTGTGGGTGACTGTCCTGGCCACCTGCGCCTGGGGAGTGGCCACAGAGAGGCTTCCTTGAGGAAGTTCCCTTCGAGTCAGGAGCTGAGGGGTGAGCATGCCCCAAGCAGGGAGTGCTGGGGCAGCGCACACGGCTGAGGCAGGGGCAGCCGGGGGCAGCCGCAGACGCAGAGGAAGGCTGTTGTGACCGAGCCCCGTGTGGCCGGACGTGGGGGGAGAGGAGGCGGGGTGGGGTCCTGTAGGGCTGCGGGTCCCTCTGGTCGGACCCTGAGAGTGGCTGTGGGGAGCTTTGGTCGGCCACCCAGCTGGGAGGCGTCACGGCCTCTGGGGAGGGGGGTGGTAGGGGAGGCTGGCCCCACTCCCTACTCCTGCCTGACTCGTGGGGGATGCCCTTGGGGATCTGATGCACCCGATACGCCCTGAGCCCAAGCCCTCCCCCCCGCCCCCCCGTGTCCCCTGCAGGCTACCTGCCCAACGGGGAGCACGCCGTGGAGGCCATGCTGGCCGTGGCGAGCATTGGCGCCATCTGGAGCTCCACGTCGCCCGACTTTGGCGTGACTGTGAGTTGGGGGCCCCACCGGAGGGGGTGATTGGGCTCTGTTGCCCCGGGGTGCAGCCCGCCGGATGGCTTGTGCAGGGGCGTGAGGGCGGAGCTCCCGGTGGAGCTGTGTGGCCGGCAAGGCGGGGAGGAGGTGGCCCCGGGGCAGCCCGGGAGCTGACCCAGCACCAGCTGCGCTGGCCTGACGGCGGGGAGGCAGGGGCCGGGGCCCCGTTCTGGGGGCTGTCTCTGCAGCCGCTCCTCCGGGGTCCGCGCTGGGGGACAGCCGGCAGGGCAGGAGGGAAGGCCTGTCGGGGGGGCTCCCGCCTGTCACCCTTGGACGGCTGGCTCTTGGGCGGCAGCACGCGGGCCTGAGGCCCCCCCTCGGCTGGAGCCGGGGGCCGCCCCTCAGGAAGGCGGGCCCCACTGCGCGTGTTGGAGGCGGGGCCTGCGCGGCAGTGCGGCCGCCCCGAGCTGCCCCTCGGAGAAACGGGGGTTTGCCCTTCCTTCCCGCCGGCTCCTCCCGAGGTGACGGTCCCCTTGGGCGCGTGTCGCGCTTTGCTCGGCTGTGTTCATTGGCTGCCAGGAGACGGGGGCGCAGGAACAGGGCCGTGGGCCCGAGGCCGTGGAGGTGCCTTCGGGTGGCGGGTGATGAACGTCTCCCTCCGCCCCCAGGGTGTCCTGGACCGGTTTTCCCAGATCCAGCCGAAGCTCATCTTCTCGGTGGAGGCCGTGGTGTACAGCGGCAAGGAGCACGCCCACCTGGACAAGCTGCAGCAGGTCGTGAGAGGTGCGTGGCCGCCCCGCCCCGGCCGGCCGGCCCGGCGACACCGGGGCCTGTGCCCGCTGCTGGCAGCACGGGCACCCGGGACGGACGGACGCACCCCTGTGCGGCCCCGGTGGCCGGAGGCCGTGATGTGCGTGCTCCCCTCACTCCTCAGGGCTGCCAGACCTGGAAAAGGTGGTGGTGATCCCTTACATCGCCTCCAGAGAGAAGATAGACATTTCAAAGATCCCAAACAGGTGAGTCGGCCGCGTGCTGACTGCGGGCCCCAGGGGGGACCTGCCGCGGGGCCGCCCGGCGGTGGATTCGGGGGCTCCTCTCACGTTCTGGGGCAGCGGTGCAGGCGGTTGTGGTCCAGTCGGCGTTTGGTGGACGGGCGCCTGAGGCCCCAGACTGAGCCCCGCAAGGCCACAAGGCGGGTCAGCGTCAGGACTGAGAAGGTCCCAGGAGCCCTCTCCTGCTGTCCACATCCCTTTCCAGGGGGGGGGTGTGTGCCAGGCCCCACTCCTGGGACTGGCGAACCTAAGTAACGCATGTGTACACATGCACACACATCAGTGCACACCCATGTCTGCAAACACATGTATACACACATGTATGTGTGTGTGCCAATACACACACGTGCACACACACACGTATTTTCCATTTAGAACCTATTTTCGTCCTCTTTGTGGACAGCACCTTCCTTCACTCTCCCGACACTCACACGCTGATACCCATGCGCCCCGGGCACCGGGCAGAGCCGTGAGCAGCTCGGTCTGTGATAGACGTGGGCGAGGGGACGTCTGTCCGCGCAGAGGTGGACCTGCCCCCAGGCTCTCCGAGTCCCACTGCTGTCCTCTCTCCTGGAACAGCCGTGGGGGGCGGTTCCCAGGTCAGGCCTGGTTTCCTTCGCTGGGAGGCCCTCCCCCCAGCCCGCTGTCCCCGCTGCAGTGTGGGGGGCGGTTGCACGGGTGCAGCAGGGATCCCGCGGGGCTGGCTCCTTGCGGGGGCGCAGGGAGTTCCGGGTAGTTGAGAGAAGGGAGTGTCATTGCTTGTTCGTGGGGTCTGGGAGAGGTGGCCCCTGAGCTGACGTGGAGAGGTGAGCAGGGCTTGGGCACAGCTGCGGGTGCCAGGGTCGCAGCAGCCAGAGGTCGCTGCAGGCGAAGGGACCGTTGTCCGAGGGCCGTGGTCTCGAGCCAGACCGCTCAGGTTCAGGGGTCGCTGCGCGGCCCCGTGCAGGTGATCAGCCTCTCCGTGCCTTGGTTTCCGCATCTGGAAAATGGGCTGGTAACAGTCCTTTCCTCACAGTCCAGCTGTGAGCAGAGTGCTTTCGTCAGCTCCCAGTGATGGTGGCAGACAGCTGCCGGCAGGGGTGGGTTGGGTCCCCAGGGGCCCCTGTGTCGGGATGCGAAGGCCTGGGGGCTGGGACTTGTCCTCTGGGAGCCCTGGCGTCTTGGGTGCAGGACAGCCGGACTCAGGCCCGCAGCGGGGGCGTGCCCGCAGCGGGGGCGTGCCCGCAGCACTGTGGCGGCCCTCAGAGCCCCGCCTCCGTTCATGTACTGAATCTCCGGAGGAGGGGGCAGCCCTGCCCTGCCCTGGCCGTGGCGCTGTCACGGCAACTTGGAATTTCCCCCGGGCTTCCCCTCGGTCCGCCTGAGTTTGGGAGAGGGGACCTCCTGCCCCCTGGCTGCCCCTTGGCCCATGTCCCGGTGCCCAGGCCCGGCCCAGCCAGATGGAGGCAGCGAGGGCTGTGTCCCGGCCGGGAGGGTGCGGCCCTGGTCTGACCTGTGCGTTCTGCCCACAGCGTGTTCCTGGATGACTTCCTGGCCGCTGGGAAGGGGGACCAGGCGCCCCAGCTGGAGTTCGAGCAGCTGCCCTTCAGCCACCCGCTCTTCATCGCGTTCTCCTCGGGCACGACTGGCGCGCCCAAGTGCATGGTGCACTCGGCCGGGGTAGGTCCCCGCCCACGCGGCGCCGGGTGCCGCCCGGAGACCCGGATGGGGCGGGCGGTGCAGCACCGGGTGCCCAGTGCTGCTGTGGGGCCGTCACCTCGGGCAGGGGACAGCGCTCCAGGCCCGTGGAGCTGCTGCTCCGATGGCCCCGGGCGTGTCCACTGGCCGGCTGGGCAGCGCCCTCCACACCCAGCCCCCCGGGCGCTCTCTGCCGGCTCGGCGGGCAGGAAGGGGAGCCCTGCACCGCCTTGGTCACGCCTTGTCGTAGCCGTTTCTCCTGCCCCCCCCGCCCCCCCCCAGGAAGAGTCTCACCCGAGTGGGGGCCTCGCGCTCTAACTGCTGTCCATCCCTTGCTTGCCGAGCCGCGGTGCTTGAGAACGGAATGTAGGACTTCTCCTGGTCTAGCGCATTTGGCTTTATGGGTTCCCCACGCCTGGGAGCCCTTCGAATTCCTTCCGCATGAAGGAGCCATATCCGTTTGACCCAGTTGGGGCCTCATGTGGCCCCTCACGGTGTCCCCCTCAGGACGGGCAGAGCCAGCCGCGCTCGGCTGCAGCCCGGCGCAGACCCACCGAGGCCCAGGTGCGGTGCAGGCTGGGAAATAGCAATGGAGTCCTTTCCGGCACGGCAGCAGCTTCTCCGGACACCCTGGGCAGGGGGAGGGGGACGTCGGGCCGAAGGCTTGTTTTCGGGGTGCTCTCTGTGGGGGTGAGAGACCTGGGTGCTGGGCCGGGCGTGTGCCTCGGGCTTCGAGGTGCAGCTCCGCGGGGCTGCTGCGGCCCCTGCTCCCTGCAGAGGGGGTGCAGCCGCCTGGGCGGGGCCTGGGCCCGGCCGTGGGGGGACGGGTCAGGAGCCTGCAGGCAGAGGGACGCGCACAGCAAAAGTGCAGACGTTCAGGAGGAACCGACCCGTCTGGCTGGGCTCCGTTCTCAGTGCTTTGGGGGCGGAAACGTCACTTTCTAGGACAGGGACGGAGAGAGGCGTTAGGTGCGATAGTGTTTGCTCACAAAACCAATTCGTGGGCAGGATGGTGTCTGTTGGGCCTTTAGAGGGATCGCCTCCTCCAGTGGGCTTGCTCTCTCCTTCCTGTGGGGTCCGACCAGGGTCCCTTGTTGTAAAGGTCGGTTCTAACCGCGGGTCTGGCTTCGGCCTCCGAAGTTCCTGACCCCGGGGCTCCACTGCCGGTGGCGGGGCGCTGCCATCCTCGGGCCTGGCTGAAGGGCGGGCTCGGTCCCTCGGGGCCAAGGAGGGGCGTCCGCAGTCCGGCCTCGGGGCCGGGGGCGACAGCCACTGCGGAGGGGGAAGGCTCATGGCCTCTCCTCCCCAGGGCACCCTCATCCAGCACCTGAAGGAGCACCTCCTGCACGGGGACATGACCAGCAGCGACACCATCCTGTACTACACCACGGTGAGTGGGCCCCGGGGACGCCCCGGGGGCAAGCCTGCGCTCGGCATGGGGCTCCTGCCCGCCCGCCTGTGCGCCCTCCTCGGCGGCCGGGCTCCTGCAGGGTGGCCGGGCTCCGGCTTCGCTGCTCCGGCTTCGCTGCAGTCTCCCCTCGCCTCTCGGCCTCCCGCGGCGGCACGGTTAGTAGCAGGCAGCGCCCGCGCCCTCCGGCCGCACCGGAGCAGCTTCAGCTGGCCGGGCCGCCTCTCCGACTGCTGCTGCCCTGCTCCCTGCCCCTGCTGCCACTCGAGTCTCCGCACCCCGTGGCCCCCGCTTTGCCGGAGCCCGGGTCAGCCCGGAGAGCCCGGGACACAGTGCAGCCTCTAGGGGGCGAGGGGCGAGGGTCACGTGACTGAGCTCTGCCGTCAGCCAGCGGGGCGGGAGCTTGAGGCAGGTGTCCTGGGAGAGACAGCTGCCTGGGGCAGGGGCGGGAGGGAGCACAGTGGCCCCCGAGACCCCAGGAGCCTGTGACCCCCGGCTCGGCCAACGCCCCGCGCCTCCCTCCGTCCGCTGCAGGTCGGCTGGATGATGTGGAACTGGATGGTGTCCGCGCTGGCCACCGGCGCGGCCGTGGTCCTGTATGACGGCTCCCCGCTGCTGCCCACGCCCAACGTGCTCTGGGACCTGGTCGACAGGGTCGGGTGGGTGTCGCGCTGGGGCCGCCTGCCTGCCTCCTGTCCGTGCCTGCCAGCCGGGGCGCAGGGGAACGGGGTGGCGGGGGGGCGGGCCTCGTGGAAGCGGCTGTTGGAAGCAGGGCCGCTGCCCAGGAGCCCGCGCTGCCTGCTGGGCGCCAGGAGACGCAGGGCCCGGGCCGGCCCCCGGCCACGTGCGCAGTGCCGGCCCCACCCAGAAAAGTGACGCCCGCTCACCGGCCGCGGGCCGCTCGCCTCAGAAGGGCCCGCGGAGTTTCTGGTGACTTCTGTCCCTCCTGTGCCCTCAGCATCACCGTCCTCGGGACGGGGGCCAAGTGGCTGGCGGTTCTGGAAGAGAGGAAGCTGAGGCCGGGTGAGTGTGCCCGCAGCGCTGGCCCCCGGCCCAGGCCAGGGAGGCCGCACCCCCCCCCCGCCCCACCCCCCCGCCCACATCCCGGCCCGCCCGGCGGTGCTAGCGGGGCTCGTGTTTCCGCCCCCCTCCCCGCAGTGGACACCCACAGCCTGCAGACGCTGCGCACCGTGCTGTCCACCGGCTCCCCGCTGAGGGCCCAGAGCTACGAGTACGTGTACCGCTGCGTGAAGGGCAGCGTGCTCCTGGGCTCCATCTCAGGTGCGGCCTCTGCTGCGCGCGGGTGCCCGGGAGGGCCCGTGAGCGCCCGTGTGTGTGCCCTCCGGCCCCACAGTGCCCGCGGGTGGGGCGGGTGGGGTGGGTGGGTGAAGCACCTGGTTCCCACAACCCTGGGTCTTGACCTCGGTGCGGGTGGCCGTCGGCTTTGGTCTCCGCCGGCAGGACCCTCGGTCAGAAACACTCACCGGGCGCGGGAGGCGAGGCCGGCCCGTGTCTAAGCCCCTCCCCCTCTCCTGGAGTTGTTAGGGCTTGCCTGAAAGAGCAGGGGGGGCCCGTCCTTGGGGGGCGGGGCTCTCTCTCCTGGCGCAGGGACGCAGGCAGCGGCCGTGTGTCTGCGTTCTGAGCGCCGAGCCACCCCCTGCCGCTGTCTGTCACAGGCGGCACCGACATCCTGTCCTGCTTCATGGGCCAGAACCCCTGCCTCCCGGTGCACAAGGGCGAGATCCAGGCCCGCAACCTGGCCATGGCCGTGGAGGCGTGGGACGAGGAAGGTGCGTCCGCCCCGCTGTGCGTCTCTGTCTGCAGCTCGGTGTGAGCGGCGACCCGGAGGGCGGGGGCGCCTGCCTGCGCTCCGTGTCTGTGCCCCTGTCGCGGGCAGACCCGCGTCCCTGGGTGCTGGTGGAACAGCCCCTGGTCGCCCCAGCCCCTGCCCCAGCCCCAGCCCCAGCCCCTGCGGCCTGCCCACCCGAGCAGGAGGCGTCGGGCTGGAGCGGAGACGGAGAGCTGGGCGCTCAGGAGAGGCGGGCGGCAGGCGTCCCCGGGCGTCCGAGCCTCGAAGGGTTGCCGAGGCCGCCCTTGCCAGCCGAGGACCCCGCTGCCCTCTCTGCTGGCCCAGGACAGGCTTTGGTGTCAGGGTCAGTCATGGCTGGTGGCCGTGCGTCAGCAAAGCCTGTTCGTGTCCCCAGTGCCAAGCAGGGCCTGGCGCGGGGCGTGTGGCGTGTGCACCGCCCACGTTCAGGGACTCGCCCTCCTTCGGCTGCCACCACCGCAATCCTCGCCCGAGTCTGAGCGGGAGGGGGGTGACGTGTGCCCCGCTGGCACGAGGCGGAGGGAACGACCACCGAGGGGGCCGCACCGGGTGGCCGAGGCAAGTTTCCAGCTGACCCTTGAACCCCCCCACACCAGGAAAGGCCGTGTGGGGGGAGAGCGGCGAGCTGGTGTGCACCAAGCCACTCCCCTGCCAGCCCACGCACTTCTGGAACGACGAGAACGGCAGCAAGTACCGGAAGGCCTACTTCTCCAGGTTCCCGGGTGCGCGCCCCGCCCCCCCCACGTGGGCCCCGCCCCCCATGTGGGCCCCCCACCACGTGCCCTCCCCCCGTCCACTGTGTCTGCTGGTGGCACTCGTGGTGCAGAACTGATGAGTGTCCCGTTGCTGTCGTGTTTGCCGTGGGCGTCTGCCCGGCCGGCCGCCGGGACCCTGTGCTCTGGGGTGACCGAGTGCTTTGCCCCTGCAGGGGTCTGGGCGCACGGCGACTACTGCCAGATCAACCCCAAGACCGGGGGCATCATCATGCTGGGCCGGAGGTGAGGGTCGCGGTCGGCTTCACATCCCCGGGTGGTCGGGGGCGTGGGGGGCAGGCCCGTGCCAAAGGCCCAGCCAGTGACTGCCCACAGGGGCGGCAGCTCTTCCGGGATGCGGTGGGGGTTGTGGGTCTTGGGGGCCGCAGCAGAGCTGGGAGGGAGGGGCCCACGCACAGGTGGGAGGCTCGGGGAGGTGACGGGTGTGTCCATATGAAGGGCGCTGCCCCGGCCTCTGGCCTTGAGTTCAGAGAGAGGGGGTGGCTGGTCGGGGTCAGGGGTGGGGACATGAGCCTTCCGTGACGGGTGCTGGCATTGCCGTGCGGACGGGGGTGATGCCACCCCGGGGCCCCCTCCACAACACGCCCCGCTCGGGTGTTGCTGCGTGTTCACGACCTCGTGTCCGTTTGCAGTGACGGCACGCTCAACCCCAACGGGGTGCGGTTCGGCAGCTCGGAGATCTACAACATCGGTACGCGGTCCCCTTCTCCCGGTTGTCGTCGGTCACCCGGGAAGGGAGGGGCCCCCAGCTTTCCAGAGGCCTCGGCTTCGGGGGAACACTGGCCCCCCACCCCCCTCGAGTCAGACATTCACGAGCTCGCCCTTTTCGGGACATGCCCCGTCCACGTGGCGCATAGCTCGTGACGCCCCAGGAGGGGATTCCTAAGGTCACGTGGCCTGTCCCCGTCCCTGCCTCGGTCCCTGCTCACGGTGAGCCCTGGGAGGGGTCGGTGGCGTCTGCTGTTTACGAGAGAAGAAACGGAAGCATGGTGGGGTGGTACGGCTGCTGGAGGTCGCACAGCACCGTGCGGGACGCTGAGGGCAGTGTGGGCCCCTGGGCCTCACGGCTGCACAGTGAGCTCCCCCGGGGCCTTCAGAATGCCCAGCTCAGGCCACAGGTCAGCCTTGTGCGGCCTTGTGCGGCCTTGTGCGGCCCGGTGGGGGAGCCCTGGCTCTCTCCAGCCTTGCTCCTCCCAGCAGCCCTGCCACGGGGTCACGCTTCCTTTGTGTCTTTAAGTCAACGAGTGCAGGAAGGGCTGCACGCGGCCCCTGGCAGAACGTCCCGCTCCAGCTGAAGCTGCCTGTGCCCCCGGCGGGGGGTGACCGTCCGCCTGTGCCCCTCCCCCGATGCTCGTCCAGGGAGGGCGGGAGGGCGGGAGGGCAGACGGCCTGCCCTCCGTCCCTCGGGGTCTCGGGGGCCGGGCGGGACAGCTGCAGCATGCCCTCCCGTGTCCCCGCAGTGGAAGCCTTCGAGGAGGTGGCGGACAGCCTCTGCGTCCCCCAGCACAGCAAGGACGGGGAGGAGAGGGTGGTCCTCTTCCTGAAGATGGCCTCCGGCCACCGCTTCCGGCCCGAGCTGGTGAAGCGCATCCGGGACGCCATCCGCGCCGGCCTGTCCGCCCGGCACGTGCCCAGCCTCGTCCTGGAGACCCAGGGCATCCCGGTACGGCCCCGCGGGCCCCCGCATCCCCCCCCCACACCCCCCACGCCCGGCCCACGCGCCTGGCCTCTCACCTGGGCCTCGCTGGAGCTGTGTGTGGGGGTGGTCCCCGTTGCCTGGCAACAAGTCCTGTTTTCCTCGCCATCCCTTTTTTAAAACCTTTACTAAATCGCGCTATAAAGCGCTTTCTGCTGCTGCTGGTGGGGGGCGGTGAGCAGGCCGGCCCGCAGCGGCTGTGGTGTGCTCTGGAAGTCGTTGTCGATGGGGAGACCGGTGGAGGAAGGCCCCCTGCTCGCCTTGGGGGTGGGCTCTCCGTGCCCTGGAGGCCGCAGTTGGCTGGGAGCTGGGGGCCGGGAGCTGGGAGCTGGGGGCCGGGGGCCGAGGTCGGTCTGCCCGGCCCGCGCGCACCCGGGCGCAGAGCGAGGGAGGCTTCCCCTCCGGCTCACACGGCCCCGTGTCTTCTCTCCCACCCCGGCAGTACACCCTCAACGGCAAGAAGGTGGAGGTGGCCGTGAAGCAGGTCATCGCCGGGAAGGCTGTGGACCCCCGCGGGGCCTTCTCGAACCCCGAGACCCTGGACCTGTACCGGCACCTCCCGGAGCTGCAGGGCTTCTGACCGCGTCCCCCTGCTCCCGCGTGGGTGCCGCAGCGCCGGTGTGTGCGGGAGGGTCCTGGGACGCCCCAGTGCTCTCTGGGGGCTTGCCCCCTGCCCCCCTGCGCCTGTGGTCCGAGTGGGGGTGCCCGGTCTGCCGCACGCGGCACGCCGTCCTGACCTGGGGGCCGGCAGGGGGGGTGTGTGGGAGTGTGTGGGAGTGTGTGGGGGTGTGTGGGAGCACGACCTTGCACATGTGCTCCGGTGTGCACGCCCAGGAGGACTGGCGGCAGACGCTCAGTCATGTGTACGGCGTGGCCTGGCCCCTGGTGACAGACAGCACAGCCCCGAGGGGCCGTCTCGCCCTCGGCGCCCCCGCCCCCCCATGGGCCCACTGTGCCCCGTGGAGGTGCAGATCAGTCCTCCCTTCACTCTGGTCTCCGGCTCCGGCCGTCGTCCCTCAGGGCCCGTCCGTCCTCCCCTGCTCGTCACTTGTCTCCAGGGCGTGGTCCAGTGTGACTGCCCCCTCCTGCCCCCCGCCATGCTCTGTGTGGTGACCAGACACATGCCATTCCTGGCGGAGCCGCGTCCGCCTGCCCGGCCGCACGGTGGGCGCTGCCCTCGGAGAGCCAGCGGGTCCCCTGCCGTGACGGGGGCTCCTCGCTGCGTGGACGTTGGCCGGTGAGAACCCTCCCCTGGGAGTCGTCTGGTGCATGGGTGTTCGGAGGACTGGACGTCCACCTGTGGGCGGCCTCCCCGCCCCCCGGCGGCGGTCACCCTGGATCCCAGGAGACGGACTTCTCTGCGCGAGGGCTCTGCACCTGGGGAAGGTGTTGCAGCGCCCGCTGGTCGCGTCACAGGGTTGACAGCCAGTTGGTTTGTACGTTCTCTTCAGTTCAGCGTATTCCTGTAATATTCCTGTGATCCTGATGTTCGTTTTTATATTTTTTAAAATGGAGCACAATGAAATCCTTTTTTGAATCCCCTTTCTTCTGATTATAAAAATTTATGGGGCCTGGGCTGGTGTGACTCAGTGGATTGATCGCCTGATTGCAAACCAAAGGGTCGCTGGTTCGATTCCCAGTCAGGGCACAGGCCTGGGTTGTGGGCCAGGTCCCCTGTAGGGGGCGCTCCAGCGGCAACCACACATTGATGTTTCCCTCTCTCCCTCCCTTTTCCTCTCTAAAAGTAAATAAATAAAGTCTTTAAAAAATGAAACAAAGACATATGGGGAAAATTGCCACGAGGAGTTTAACGCAGTAACAAAAACGTGTGTGTGTTGTGTGTGTGTGTGCACATACTACACATGCAGTGTGCCGGCGTGTGCTCCCTGGAGGGGCAGCTGGCTCCACGGGCAGGGGGCTGGCTGTGCTGATGGGCCAGCTGGGAGCCGTGCTCCGGGGGAGGTGGTCGGTCCAAACGGTTGGGGCATTTCCTGGGCCCCTGCTGACCAGTGACCCAAGGGTGCTTCTCAGTGGGAAGCCACACCCCAGAGGGCGATAATGTCTTCACCTGGGCTCCCCTGTGGCTGGTTTCTGGACAACGACACTTACCTTGTCATTGCCAGGGTCACGTGTCCCCGGGGCTGTGTCTGGCTGCAGGTCGCAGAATCCAGGCCCAGCCCAGCGGGGTTGGCGTTTCTCACGTCCCAGGACGCCGGAGGCCAGCCATTGTCCCGGGGTGGCTGCTGCTGCAGTGCCCAGCCTCTTCTGTCTCCTGCCCCTGCCGTCCCACGGGTTCTGGGTGGAAGAAGGGCTGGGCGGGAGGACAAAGGTCCACCCCCCTCTGCCTGTCCCTTTTTTATTAGCGGAACGAGGGCTTTTCCGGAAAACCCACCCAGCACCCACATGCTTCTGCACCATGGCCAGAGTGGGCCGCAGAGCGCCCCTAGCTGCAAGGGAGTCTGGCGGTCAGCGTGTTTTGAAACAGCTCTTACTCCCTTTTTGTATCCGTCTCCTGCTGCTGCTCTAACGAAGCACTACCAACATAGTGGCCTAAGCCCACGCCAACTGTTAGTGGTCCTGGAGGGCAGAAGCTGCCGACCGGGCTCTCACTGGGCTGACGCCCCAGGGACGGCCGGGCTGCCTGCTTTCCGGTGGTTCTGGGGGGGTCGGCTCCCTGCCTTTTCCAGCCGCTGCGTCCTGACTGCTGGCCCCTTCCCTCATCCCGTGGTGTCTCACCCTCCCTCCCTGACCACGTACGAGGACCCCGTGATGACACTGGCCCATGGGAAGGTGTGGGTTAGTCCCCGGTCTCACCATCTGCAGACCAGCGAGGTCAGTTTCGTCTGCAGCCGTAACCCCCGCTCCCCCGGCCACACGACTGGACATTTTCACAGGTTCCGGGTGTTGGGACCTGGACGTGCTGGGGGCGCCAGAGTGGTCGTCGGGGAGATATGAGCCTTGAGCTGGAAGAACCCTGGTTGGTGACTGCCCCCAGGCTGGGCTGACCCTCCCCAGGTGACCAACTGGCCTGCCAGTCCTCCCCCGGGGCTCGGGCCAGTCCCGGACCGGCTCACACCGGCCGAGGAGTGGCCAAGGCCTCCTTGCTGTGCCCTCCCGTCCCGGCAAGGTGTCCGGGCGGGCCACACCCACACGTCCTTATTAATCGGCGGGCTGGCAGCTTCCCTAATGAGGGACAGACGGCCGGGAACCACAGCCTCCCGTGCCTTGGCCCCAGTATCACACTCGGAGAACCCGCCACCTGCCGGCAGCCGCCTTCTCCTCTCCGCGGCGGCCCCACCCCGCCCGACCCAACCCCCAGCAGCTTCGGGAAGCTGTGGGTCTGCAGTGCGGCCTGGCGGGGGCGCCCTGACGCCGTGGTCCCGCTCATCCCTCCAGCCCTGCCGCCCACGCGCGGGCTGTTCCTCATCAGCGCTGCCTTCCCCGCTCCGGGAACCTCCTCCACCGCCCCCCCCTTCTGGCCGGGCAGGCAGGCTCTCCTGGGGAACCCTGGAGCACCGGGTGGGGTGCCTGAGCCCGGGCCCGCCCCTTCCTTCCACGCCCTGCTCCTCTGCGCTGGCTTAGATCCCTGCACTGTCCCTGCGGGCACCTGTCAGCCGGTCCCGTCCCTGCCTTCCGCATCCCGCAGGCCCCCCAGTTTGCTCCTTCACCTGGACCCCGAGCCCCCGGCAGAGCGCCCAAACCCACGTTCCGGGAAAGGCCCACCCGGGACCGTGCAGGGACAAAGGAGACCCTTCCCTGGGGGCTTCACGTGCCCTGGGCGAGGGTCTCGTGGGGAACAAGCCCCCACACTCGGGGCCCAGCCTGCCGAGGACTGCGGCACACAGAGGTACGGGTGTGGTCCTTGGGGTGCTGGCTGGGGTGCCGGCTAGGCTGCCATCACGAGCATCCCCGAATCCAGCTCGGCCGGGAAAGAGTTTTTCTCCTGTCACAGCCCTGAGGACGGTGGGTGGGCCAGGGTGGCTGGGTGGCTTTGCTTCGCAGGGCCACCCGAGGGCCCAGGCTGCTTGCATCCGCTGGTGGGGGGGTGGGGGTGGCGCGGGGGGGTGGGTGGTCTTGTCCGCGGGGCGGAGCCAGCTCACGGCGTTCACCTCACTGAAACCCACCTTCTTCCCGGGAAGGGCTCCCCAAAAGAATGAAAAGAATCCTTTTTTTAATGAACCTCATTTTGTGGTCTTTTATTGGGCGGGGGATAGTTCTTGAATGTCTAGATTTAAAAAAAAAATCACACCTCAGTGGAACACCTCGACTGCCATGTATGGTTTCCGAGTCACTCCGACGGCGGCACCGACACTGTCACGTGCTCCCGCCCCAATGAGAGTTGTGGGGGGGGGCACCCGTTCGTGCGTCATGAAACTTTAAAAGACAGCGTTCCGGGAACGGCACGCCCCGTTGTTCCCGCGTGGCTGGAATTGTGGGTTTTAAAAAAGACGCTATTTCTCCTCTGAAGATGAGGGTGCTTTCGAGAGGGTTCCGCCGCACCGTCCTCGTGGGGGGCGAGGGGGGTGCGGTGTGGAGGGCGGCCGGGGCTCTCTGCCATCTCGGAATGGATGCGTTTCCGTGGCTTTCCTTCTTCTCTTTCTTTCTTTTTTTTTTTTTCTCCCGAAATAACCCGACCCAGCAGCGATCCCTCTCCACCGATGGGACCGTCAGGGTCTTGCCCGAGTCTGTGTCACATAATTGCTTTCGTGCTCACACCCGGCACGCTCGTGTTGATGGCTGCGACGCAGATGTGACAATTCTATTAGGCCTGGTTCTTGCATGGTTGACCCTGCAAATTGAATCCGGGGAGGTCAGCCCTTCTGCCTGGCTGCTGGATTCCGCGTGAGCCACGCCGTTGGGGGAGGGGCCGGGAGGTGGAGGCGTCGGGGCCTGGGAGCCTGCAGCCTCTCCGACCCCTCACCCCCCCCACTTGTCGTCCTGCACGCTCCCTCGGCTGCCCAGATGGAAAGTGCAACCCTTGATGGATGGGCTTCTGCCCCCGTGGCATCATTAGCTACTCTGTCAAGGTGACAAGGTCATTTTTAATATCCGCTCTTCGGAGTGGAGGTTTATTTTTAGGTTGGGAGTCCGCCAGCCTTCCCATAGAGAGAGAGGGAGAGAGAGAGAGGGAGAGAGAGAGAGGGCCACGGCTCCGACCCTGGCGGCCCCGGCAGCTGTGAACACTTCCCAGGCCCACAGGGGGCGCTGTCTGAGGCGCGGGACGTGTTCTCAGGACGTGATGAGCACGTGGAGAACGAAGATCCCTTTTGCGTCCCGGGGCGGGGCGGGGGCCAGGGAGCATGGAGTGAGGCCTCGGCTGTGGGAGGGCTTTCATGGCGCCCCAGGAAGGGGAACAGAGCTACCCTGTGCCCCGGCCATCCCACCCCGAGGGGGGCACCCCAGAGGATCGAACGCACGGACTCAGGCGGGCGTCTGGACACCCACGTTCACGGCGGCGCTGTTCGCAGCGGCCGGAAGGGGTGATCGCGATGGTCACTTAGCAACACAGCGCCGGGTCACCGGGGTCTGGACCCCTCAGACTAATTCGGTGTCACCCGTCAGCTGTAATTGAAACATGAAAAGTGATTAAAAAAAAAAACACCTGAAATATTTTCCCTATCAAGTGTTTGGAGGACCTAATTATGAACTTCATTATAATTGTTCATTAGTTATATTTTGTTCAATTACTTTAACAAGTTGCCAAACGGAACACAAAGCCGGCAATTAGCATTATGTAATTGTAATGAGGCGCTCAGATCGGGGCTGCTGCGTGCTTTTCCCGCGGAGGGAGCCAGCGGGAGGCGGCGGCTGGCGCCCGCGTCCGCTCCCAGGCCCCCTCCGAGCCGCGGGGGGCGGGGCGGCCTTTTCTGCCGCGCAAAGATCCCGGTCGGAAACTTGGACACGTGTGAGGGCGGGGCTGAGAACGTCCCGATGACGTCGGTCGTGTGTCACGTGGTGTGTGGCAGCCCGCGTCCCGGCTGGCTTTCGTGCCGTCACTCACGGAGCGTGCCTGTCAGTCCCAGACGTGAGGGCTGTCGCTTGCCCGCTTTGCAGATGCAGACATCGAGGCACGGGGTCCGGGCGACGCGCCCGAGGTCACGCAGCCCGGAGGCGCTGGAGCTGGGCCCTGGCCCGTGCCCTTGACCGCGGCTCTCTGTTGGGCATTGATTACTGCGTCTCCGAGAAACGTGCGTTTTGAAACATGCAACGGCCCACTTTCTCCAGCAGGAGACCAGCAGCGAGAGAAGAGATAACACCGCATTTCGGCCACTTCGTTGTTCGTCTCAGGATGTATTTCAGAGGTAGAAGTGTGAATGCAGCTTTCTACAATTCGCCCCGGCTGGTGTGGCTCCGAGGGTTCCGTGCCAGACTGCGAACCGAGGGGTCACGGGTTCCATCTCCATCAGGGCACAGGCCTGGGCTGCAGGCCAGGTCCCCAGTAGAGGGCGCTCAAGAGGCAACCACACATTGATGTTTCTGTCCCTCTCTCCCTCCCTTGCTCCCTCTCTAAAAACAAATAAATCATTGGCTGTTCTTAACCACTCCCCACTCCCAGCTGTGGCTGGGGGCGGGCG